ACACACAGGCAGAGAGTCTCGGGGCTAACAAAAAGCCAACCCCAGCCCTCCGCCTCTCACCCGGAGCAACTCCAGCAAAGTAGAGTGTCCAACCCCTCTCCAGGTCTCGGGTTCCAGAGCCAATGCAATGTGTCGAGGTGAGTCCGACTATATCTAGCCGGTACCGCTCAACCTCTGCCACAAGCTCCGGCTCCTTCCCCGCCAGCGAGGTGACGTTCCATGTCCCAAAAACTAGTTTTCTTGTCCGGGGATTGGACCGCCAAGGCTCCCGCCTTGGTCTGCCACCCGATTCGCATTGCACCGGACCCTTCATGTTCCTCCTGCGGGTGGTGGGTCCACAGTTGGACGAGCCCATGTATCCGGTTTGGGCTGGGCCCAGCCGGGCCCCATGGGCGAAAGCCCGGCCACCAGGCGCTCGCTCACGGGCCCCAACCCCAGGCCTGGCTCCAGGGTGGGACCCCGGTAACCCTCCGGGCCGGGTACTCCGACTCTTCGTTTTAACCGCCATGAAAGATCCTAAATTTTGCAATAAAAAGTAAAATTTTTTAAATCCCTTTCTCATTAATGAGTGATGAATACTCCAGACTAAAGAAAGAAATACAAAACACGCAGTCATTTACAGGCAGGAATTCCCCTTTAGTCCCAAAGAAGGAGGATCCATTACTTGTTTTCATTAAGTTTAATGAATATTTAATGTTTAATGTCATTCCAGTCCATTTAAAGTTACAGTGTCTATTTTTTTCTGGTGATAGGGGGTAGTAGATAACTAAATTGTTGCAAGCAAACAGTATTTTTGTGTTGGAGTAAGATCTTATCAATGGATCCCCATTAGGGTCAAAAAGCCCTGGGGAGTGCAAACTTCAGCAAATTGAGAAGTGCATCAGGCTGCCTTTCATCGGTGGCAATGAGTGAAGAGGTAAATGTGTAAAACATCAACGTTTCTCAAAGGTGAAAGTTTTGTAACCATTTGTTACAAATCAGTAAATGCATTTTGTCCTCATGGGCTCCCGTAGAAGGAAAGATGGCGTCTAATATTCAATTCAATTCAAAAATACTTTATTAATCCCAGAAGGAAAGTGATCACTGTAGTAGCTCAAAATAATAATAATAATCATCAAGTCGTCAAAGTTGTTGTATAATACAATGGCTGTTGGCAGGAAGGATCTCCAGTAGCGGTCAGTGTTGCAGCGAAACTGAAGAAGCCTCTGACTGAAGACACTCCTCCGTTGTCGGACAGTCTTGTGAAGAGAATGCTCAGGGTTGTCCATCATTTTCTTGATTCTCTGGAGAATCCTTCTTTGCATTATCTCCTCCAGTGGTCCCACAGTCGTCCCCATAACAGAACTAGCCTTTTTTATTAGGCTGTTGAGCCTTTTCAGGTCCCTGCTTCTGATGCTACTACCCCAACAGACGATGGCTGAAGAGATTACACTCTCAGCAACAGACTTTTAGAAGATCTGCAGCATCTTGCTACAGACATTGAAGGACCTAAGCGTCCTCAAGAAGTGCAGTCTGCTGTGTCCCTTCTTGTAAACGGCTTCACTGTTCTTTCTCCAGTCCAGTCTGTTGTCCAGGTGAACTCCAAGGTATTTGTATTCCTTAACCACCTCCACTTCTTCTCCCTGACTCCACCCTGTTTCTTCTGAAGTCTAAAATCATCTCCTTTGTTTTGTTCACATTTAAGGTCAGATGATTGTTTCCACACCCTGCCACAAAGTGCTCCACCATCTCTCTGTACTCAGCTTCCTGTCCATCTCTGATACACCCGACAACTGCTGAGTCATCTGAGCATTTCTGTAGATGACAGGTCTCTGATTTGTACTAGAAGTCTGAGGTGTACAGGGTGATAACGAATGGTGAGAGTACAGTCCCCTGTGGTGCTCCAATGTTACTGATCGCCTGGTTTCATGTGCAGTTCTTCAGCCTCACAAACTGGGGTCTGTTTGTCAGGTAGTCTTTAATCCAGGCGATAGTTGAGGCCCCACTTGTGTCTTCTGGAGTTTCTGGCAAAGTACATCAGGCTGGATTGTGTTAAATGCACTGGAGAAATCAAAGAACATGACCCTCACGGTGCTGCCTGCTGTGACAGGGACATTTTGGATCAGAGGAGGATGGGGTCTCTGATTGGCTGGGGACAGGCGAGGAGGATGCTGGGTTTGTTCCTGAACTGAACCTATTGAAGAACTTGTTCAGTTCATTGGCTGTGTCCAGGCTGCCATCTGTGCAATCCTTCCTCTGCTTGAAGCCTGTGATCTTCTTCATCCCTGACCAGACATCTCTGATATTGTTCCTCTGTAGTTTATTCTCCAGCTTCCTCCTGTATGCCTCCTTGCTGTCTCTGATCTTGATCTTCAGTTGCTTCTGTATACTCCTCAATAATTCCCTGTCTCTCTCCTTGAAGGCTCTTTTTTTCCTCATTTAGCAGATTATTCAATTTACTGGTGATCCAGGGTTTAATAGCGATGCATCTCACTGTTCTGGTGGGTATGATGTTGTCTACACAGATGTTTATATAGTCAGTGACACATCCAGTCATGGCATTGATGTCCTATTCATGTCCTTGGCAGAGTCATCCAATCTGTGGTCTCAAAATAATCCTGCAGGGCTTCTTCAACGTCCTGTGACCATTTTCTCACACTTCTTCTTGTCACAGGTTGCCTCTGAACAAGTGGTTTGTATTCTGAGCAGAGAAAAACAAGATTGTATCTGACTGTCTCAGAAGAGGTCTTGTTTTGGACATGTATGCATTCTTTACATTTGCATAACACAAATCCAATGTCTTGTTTTCTCTGATGGAGCAGCTGACAAACTGTTGAAATGTTGGAAGTGTAGCAGAGAGCGAGGCATGATTAAAATCACCAGATATAGCCACAAATGCATTGGGGTGCTGGGTTTGTAGCTTAGCGACAATGGAACTGATGGCATCACGTGCATTTTCAGCAATGGCTGAAGGTGGAATATAAACGGTTGCCAAGACAACACTGGTGAACTCTTTTGGCAAATAATATGGGCAACAACTTACTGCCAAGAGGTCAACATCTGGGCTGCAGAGACGACATTTCACTGAAACATCACCTGGATGGCACCATCTGTTGTTGACAAGCACTGCCACTCCACCTCCTTTTATTTTCTCGCTCCTCTTCAGATCTCTGTCTGCTCTTACAGTCAGGAATCTTGGCAGAGAGACGCTGGAATCGGGGATATGGTCCTGCAGCCACGTCTCAGTGAAACACATAACACTCCACTTCCGATACTCTGGCTGAGTCCTTGAAAGGGCTTGGAGTTCCTCCATCTTGTTGGCCAGTGATCTCACATTGCCCATTATGATTGATGGAAGAGATGGTTTGAATTTCCTCTTTCTCTGTCTCAGTTTTGCTCCCGCTCTGCACCCACGCTTCTTACGTTTTAGCTCATTTGGGATTTGTGGCTTCAGTTGAGGTATTATTTCAGCCTTTCCAATGTTAATCAGCTGCTCCCAATAGTAAACCAGCTTGTTGCCATGGTTACGCATAATAACAAATGCTCAAAAAGTGAAAAAATAGCAGTAAAAATCCTCCAAGCTTCATAGCACCAGAAACAGAAAAGTAAAATGTCCAAAAAATAGCGATTGTCTTGACAAGCTAGAAGGCAAAATGTCCAAGAAAAGGCAAAACTTACATATAGTCAACAGAGCTACCCCAACATGCAGCCACCCACAGCAGCGCAGTTCCGGAATATGGCGTTGCCCTGAGACTTAGACCTGCTCCCATGTATTTTATACCTGATTTTATGGTTATACTGTATGTTAAGAAGCCGTCAATATTTTTCAACAACTGGGCATCATTTAATTCATTTTCAACAACATTTTGATGAATATTTCCAGAGAATAACGATAAAAATTACACATTGGCCCTTTCATTCTGGTTTGGTTCCAAATCTGATCTAAGTTTCTACAGACAGACAGACAGAAGCTTGTTTAGGTTGTTCTAATCCCGTGCAAGATTATAATCTGTCTGATTCAAAAGTTCCACAGACCTACTGCTGCTATAATCTGGGACAGACTAATTTGTGGATAATCTGACTCGATTCACCCAACTAAAAAGAGGAGAGAGACAGAGTTACGAGAGACTCACTTAGGAGGAGGAATGATTTTTTACACAACACCTGCTTGTTCACTAATATGGTCACTATTTCTCCAGTCGTGACTCCGTGTTTATTACAGGTAGAATTTCCTGTTAGGCTCTCCTCATAAACAGTCCATGTGCTGCACTTGCTATTTTAAGACCAAGTTAACAAAGAAAACGTTTTTATTTGAAATATCAGTCACTTGAGTGTGACATGCAGGCCAAACGTGAAATTAGCCTTCTACTCCTATTTCTCCTGCATTAGTCGCCAACAAAAAATAGAAAGTAAAATGCTCGGGTTAGAAACGTCAGTTTCTCGTCGCATTGAAAATTATTATGGACTCACCCGTCTTGACTCACGGTGGGGAAGGCTGTCCAGGAAACAGCAGAGAACATCTCCACTAGTCGAAGCTAACTGTTAGCATTAGCAACTCCGCCACACAGCAGAACTCCTCCAGGCTTGTGTTAAATGTTGAGAACATCAGCGTTGTAGAGCAAACCGAGTCAGTGGTAAGAGTCGTGCTGCTGTTAGCCAATCAGAGGAAAAATGTCCAAATATCCAGAAATAAGACTCCAAATCCTGCCATGTTCTGCTCCCCTCTGCTCTGGCTCTTTAGTTCCTGAAACAGGAGCGCCTGAGACCACAGAGGCTGAATCACAAGGCGTTGAATTTTACTAGAGACCACTGCAGTTCTTTAAGTGTTCTGCTTTTTACTTTCCTTAGTCTGCATCCGCAAGGTGCATAAGTACCTTCAGTTTGGTGATGTTGGACTTCGTGTTCTTCAGTTTGAACACCACAGCATTAAGGATATGTGGGAAACCTTATCGGGTACTAAAGTAAAATGAGTTGAATTCCTAAAATGTCAGGAGATGACATGTTTTTTTCTATTTGTGCAGGATCCCGAGCATTTTCAACAAGGACCTCACAGATAAAAGACCAAAGAATGGGAAATCCTCCGTCTCCCTCAAACACGAGTTTGACCCGACAGGTGAGATCACCAGCTGTATTTGTGCTCTAATGTGTTACCACTCACTGTAGTGGTGTAGTGTAGTGGGTTTTTTATCTCTGATTTTATGCAGGAGGTTTCTTGCTGCTGTGCTTCTTCACCTCCATAATAATACATTTTCAAACATCACTCTGTCATTTCTCATCAAGCTTAGAGGTCATGTAAGTCATTATAGAGGTGCAAAAGTAAATATTTCTTTATTTTAAATTTTCCAGAAAACAGAATTAAAGTTTAAACATGGAACACAAACACCAAAGGGACATCTAGTGTGTGGAGGTTGTAGTTGCAACAATAAAATAAGGTTTCCAGCCGTCAGGTCACCAGGGTCACTGTCGATATGTGAATATTTTTATTTGTGTCCATCTGTTGTAGGCTTCACCTAAATTGAGTCTGGTTTGAGATCTTTTATGGTCTCTCATCTTCTGAGAATGGTAATGACATCTCCTGGACTCAGAAGCAGCTGCTTGACTTGCCGAGTCCGCTATTTTCCACAGGGCCAGCCTCGCTGTGCCGAGCGGACTGTTTGGCAACCTGCAACGGTGCCCTCTACTGGCTGGTAGCCGTAAACATAAACCCAGTGTTGTGCCCGTCAAAAAAAATACTTGATTATTTTAAATTAAAATATAACTTTTAAAGGAAATACTGTACCTTCATTCTGCACACCTCTGAACGCCCTGTGGAGGGATTTTTTTAAAACTATAGTGTTTCATTAAGTTGTTCCATATTCAACCTTTAAATATGATAAATAAGATAAGATAATCTGACACTAATTCATAAAATAATTGATGTTAATTAATCTTAACTCATTCACTGCCACTGACGACTAAAGTCGTCATTTGCATGATGTGTGGGCATCGGAACGAGCCTCCGCACCGTGAGAACAAACATCTCAGCTCTAAAGCCGATCTTCATCCGCATTCGTCACATGCCACGTGATCAGGAAGCAGAAAATCCATGTGTTAGGTGATCGTTTTGGGCCGCTGCTGTAAAAAAAGGTGAGGCGCGAAAAGCTTCTGCCGATCACAATTCAACAACGGATTATGAAAGAACGGATAATTCAAATTCAATTCAAAGATACTTTATTAATCCCAGAGGGAAATTAGAGTTTCAGTACACACAATTCTGAGATCAGACATACATAGGCATAGACACATGACAAGAATTGGTGACTGTGGTCATTCGCAACCCGAGTCGCGCTACCTTAATAGAGATAAGAGGGTTTACATGAGGTTAGAGTCAGGTGGAGGAAAAAAAGGCACTTCAGAGTTACCCTCCACAGGGAGGGCAGCTTTGCTATGCAAAAAACACCTCAGACAGAAATGCAACAGACTTCAGACATCACACAACATAAGTGTCCACTAGGTGGGGTGGTAGGGTTGGGGACTCTCCACACATCAGTGCGTGCAGCGGCGATGAGCAGCGCTCGTCACCTCCGTTTGGACGTAGTTAGGGTTAGAAAGCACAGTGACTCCTGGAAACGATTCAATGGCCTTCACCGGTCACAGTCCTGCCCAGGCTGGGATAGGGAGACAGAGTTGCCATGGCGACGGCAGCATTCCACATTTCTTTTGAAGGGGAGTAATCACTTCAGCCTCACAGGCTCAAGGGCACCAGATTCAGATAAGAACGTGTTTTGGGGCCAGACAGAGATAATTTCCTCTCTGTCTTAAAGTTCTGTTGGTCCTCAACCCCTCTAAATCCAATAATGGCGTAATTAATCTATCCCAATCCGTGCTGATCCGTCAACTTTCTCCTTGATCAAATCCACCTTCTGTGCCAAAGTGAATCTCAGCCAAAGTTCCAAGCTTACGACTCAACACGCGGATTCTTCCTGATGTAAGAGGTGAGTCTACTCTTTGTTTTGGTTGTTTTGGCGTCGACATCATCCTAGCGCGCAACGTTCTGTCACTCTTAAAAAAACTGTAAAAACAGTGAGAAACGCTGGCAGCGAAGGGCTTTACCGATCAGGAAACGGCGGGCAGCGAATGACTTAAAGAGCAAGTCACCCCCAAATCACCATTGTTTTCTGATAAACTATATAAATGCGTGTCTAATCGTGCTGCAGACACGTGTAGTCAATAGTTTTGCACTTTAGTGCATTTTAGTTAAAATTTTAATTTTCTACCTGAAACTGTCAGTGTTGTGCCGTTGTCAGGTAAAAACTCTGCGCTGCAGTTGAATTTAAATCTGCCATCGCTAATGGCTAAGAGGTACCCTAGAATGTTAGCTGGTACCATATGATGTCACAGTGTCGTTGTGAGCCTGTGCGTGTGTGTATTTGTTAGCGGCTCCGCCCTCTCGGTCTGCTAGGCAACAGCATTTGTTGCATTTTTCAATCAGGAAGTGGGAGTGGAGTAATACTCTGGTAGGGGGTGACTTGCTCTTTAATGAAAAGGTGAAAAGTACTTTATCTTCCTTTTATTGTAGAATTTTGGGTATTTTATAATTCTACCTTAAAAAATCTATTTAAGGTGAAAATGATTAGAAAAGTAAAAAAAAACATTAAACAAAACAAATCATCGTCAGCTCAAGTTATTTTCATTCTTATTCGGTTTGTCAGCTCTGGCCTCTGATGGTGCTACACAGGCAAACTGGGACGTTGTGGGTGTTGGCAGAGCTCAGAAACAAGTTGTTCAGATCGTTGCCTCGGTTTCAGCGTTAACATTAATCCCCTTTACCCTTTTGTTCACCCTGAAGTCCTGAGGCTCCTCGTGGAGTCCAGAAGACAACCAATTATCCACTCAAAGGATTCTCCCAAGTGCAAGTAAAAAGCAACAAAACCTGAAACCGGAATGGCAGTTTGTGAATCACTGAACCTCTACCATGGCTGCATTTGACTGAAATAAATAAAACATTTATTTTAGATTTCAGGATGTTTGTGTATGGAAAATGAACAAGGTTCATGTTGCTTCACGGATTTCTGAGTTTCATGATGAGTACGTTTGTTTATTAAGAGGACATCGGATGGGCTGAGGATAAGATGAAGGTTCCTCTTGTTCCTGTTGGATTGTGTCGCCAGGTTTGTCTTGGCCGAGGCCTGGCTGGCTGTGCCCCACAGATATCCTGCACTGCTGAAGTCCTCCGACTGGAGCCTCCCTTCTGACCTTTCTGCTTGTGTTGTGAAGCACTTTGCTTTTTTTTTTTCTTGACAGGTCCTAAACAATTCAAGCTTACTTACCATCTGCACAAATGGCACACTTCCTAACAGTAACTAGTGTGTTTGTTGACAAATTAGTGCTAACTAGCTAATGCTAGCTGTAGATCTCTTCCCAACATCACAGACGCAGGTTCTTTGATACGGGCATGTATTCATGAACAGTCCTCCTGAAGCTTCGTCAGTGTAACGTCGTATTCTTTGCCATCAACATCATGCCATAACATCACAGGACTAGGGCACGCTACAACGCCGTGAGAACTTAAAATAAACAGAATAAAAATACACATTACCAAAAATGTCCAGCGTAACATTAAGAATACAAGGCAAGCTGACATTAAACTGTGATGAAATCGTATGAAACAAATAAAACATATACCTCGTTGGCTGCTTGTCATGAAAAGAGGTTCTTAAATCCTTTGAGATCACCTTGTTCTCGTTCTTTAGCCTCTAACCTTGTTCCGCATCACTACCAGCAACAAAAGGAGCGCTGCATATCTCCATTTACATTCTGAGAGATTTTCACCCACCACTGCCCGATCTCGCGGGAACAGGAAATCTCGCGAGACTTCAGTGCCAACATTACATAGGAGTTCAGAATGAGGATTTAATGGCAGTTAAAACAGATAACTTTATAATTTGTACCAAAGAAACATAAATCTATTTTAAACTTGAATTAAGGCTATGAAATGCAATATTATTGTCACGTTGGGAGCCAGGAGGAGGTTAGGACCCAAAGATGCAGAAATTCCAGATGACAACAGGGTGGAGAAATAACGTAAAATCCTTTATTAAAGAATAAATCCAAAAAGAGGCAGGGAGCCAAAAACAAAAATCAAAAAGTTCCAATAACAAAAACGTACGAAACCGAAAGGGGAATGAGACAAGGGTGACACGAACAATGACCCAACAACAGACAACGCAGACAGGGTTAAATACACTGGGGCAGGATGAGTGGAGATAAGCTGCAGGTGTGTGGGGAGAGAAACCTAGGGAAAACAATTAACTAATCAGGGAGAGGAAACTAACATGACCTAAGAGCAAAAACCTAAAGACAAGAAGAGACAGCTAAATAACTAATGTTCTAAGGGGGAAGGAAACTACAAAAACCGGTGGGGAAAGAAACACACTAAAGAGACTAAATAAATGAAAAGCTGAACCTTATAGAAAAACTGCAGAGGGGTGACTGGGGGAGACCAAAGCAACACAGGACCTGGGAGGGATAATCTGGAGGGGCTGCAGACAAGGGGACACATGAGGAACACAAGGAGACACATGAGGGGATGCAGACCATGACAATTATATTTACTTATTTATTGACTGAACTTATAAAATTCCCTAATGCACAACAAATACTTCAAGACCAACAGTTACACTAGCTGCTTTTCCAACTCATGGACCTGGTAGAACAGAAAACCAATCAGACGTCGTCTCCAGTCCAAATTATGGAGACTTTTCCAAACGTGAACGTTCCAGACCGCTTCCAGAAGTGTGAGGGTAAATTTGGCCAGTAGTCGACGGTCTCCTTGTCTCCAACTGACGGATAACATAAAAGCTCAGTTCTATTAATGTTTAAATGAATCTGATGAATTGTTTTTATTTTGAAATGAAAGGGTTGGTCCAGCGCTGTGTGATCATCCAGAGAGATGAAAATGGCTTTGGTCTGACAGTAAGTGGAGACAACCCGGTGTTTGTTCAGCTGGTTAAAGAAGGTAAAGATCAAACACACATGTGCACCTGAGGACAGCAGATCTTTATAAACGTGACTTTGGGTTGTCGTACGTTACAGATGGAGCTGCGATGCGAGCTGGTGTCCAGACAGGAGACAGGATCATTAAGGTTTTCTTTCTGTTCAACTGCTTTAAATCAGCTTCCTATAAGTCCCCTTAGTGAGTCTGTAAATCATCGTGTTAGCGTTAGCATTTTTCTGTTCCAGTGGCTTTCCTACTGCTAATCCTAACTGAATGCTTCACATTCATCCCTGTTTGAGTTTACCTTTTATCTTATGACAGGTTAACGGGAGATTAGTGACGCATTCAAATCACATTGAGGTGGTGGATCTGATCAAATGTAAGCATCCTGCTCTAACTTTTAGCCGTTTGATGTCCTTTGATCTGATCTTTTGTTTATAAACTAGTTTGTGCATGACTTTAGATTTTGAACTTGTGAGTAAATATCTAGATATTTTATGTTTCTGCTGAGACAAATATAATTTTTTCCAATAAAGCATAATTAAAGGGAATTTTTTACCTATTTGGCAGCTCATGCTTGTAGTCATTCTCCAAAAACATAAGAAAAGTTTATTATTTATTTATTTATTTACTTACTTTATTTTAAGAGAGGACAATGCATATTTATGAACAGTAATACAACTGTAAGTATGCCAGATTGTAGCCCTAGGCTAGTTTCCATCTGCAGTCCTCTGGCAGGTTAATGTTAAAAGAGATAAGGCAGATAAAGACAAAAACCAGTTAGGAGCATATTTTACGAAAAAGACAAGAGTAAAAACAAATAAAAGCGTCATCTACGATTGCATCTTTGAGTTTCCTGTTGCCACAGTTTCAGTTGCCTTTTGAAAGTAACAACACTTGAGCTTCCTCTCACTTGAGTAGGAATGCTGTTCCAAAAAGTCGAGCCCTGGAACGACAGAACATTTGGAGAAAAAGTTGTCCGCCCAAGCGGGAGCTCACAGTCACCTCTAACTGTAGCTCGAGTTACTCTTTGTGATGTTTGAATAATAAAATCATGCAGTGGTGGAGGGGCTGGACCATGAATAACTTTATAGACCAGGCAAGCAGATTTAAAATGTTTAAAAACTCAGTGGAGAATATTTATCCAGGATCAGACAGTGATGATACAAGATTGGCTTCTTGTCCGGGATCTCCGTTGCCCTTTTATAGCAGGACTCAACAGGTCTGATAACAGGAGGCAGTAAATGACCAGCTGGTGATGCAGTAGCCAACGTGAGACAGTATCGTTGAATGTAAACATGTGCTTGCTGCTTTTTCTGTCAGGGACGCTCTTATATGTTTAAAATTACGCTAATTAAAATTTACAGTTTTGACTATATTTTGCACGTTTTCTAAAAGATCACTTTGAGTCCAACCGTACCCCGAGGTATTTGAATTGTTCAACATTTTGTATTTCTTCTTCTTTCAAATACACTAGTACTTTATATATGTGCTAATAAAAGTACATATATAAAGTCCATTAAATGGTTTTTGCTAAATTATTGTTATTTTAGCCAAATATTTCATATTTTAGTGATTTTTTTTAGTCTTACCCCTGCTTTCCACTGGAGCCGTCGGCAGCTGTCAGCAGCGCGAGTCGGCCGCGTCTCAGGAGCAGCATGTCGCGGCCTTTACGCGCCGGTTCTATTGCGCGACGCCTCTGAAACGGGTCAAGTTCGACTTTTTTGGGGAAGGAAAGACAGGAAATCGGACGCGGAAATGGAGAGAAGCTCCCGAGATTTTCAGAATAAAGAAACGTACTGCCTTCGGTTGCTTTACTTTAAAAAAAGTTACTAACTCTGCGTCCCCGTGAGAAGTTATCACCTAGCTAGCGGTCTCCTTTGTTTTTCAGGTCCGTATTGGCAATTATTAAACGGACAGAACATAAAACACAAACCTTTCGGAGCCATGTTGTAGTTTTCTCCTGCTTGTTGTTGTGTTTACTGACGAAGTCACTCGTGTGACTTCGTGCTCGGTCGGTGACAGCTGCTCCCCTGCTGCTTCGCGTCTCGTGGGAAGGGCCAAGCAGCAGCTTACGCGAGCAGGACGTGCTGCTGCAGTAACGTGCTGCTGACGGCTCCCGTGGAAAGAAGGGGTTAGGGTTAGGACTAAAGTACGTGTGTTATTATTGAGAACATCTCTTTTTAAGTGCAATAAAAACATAAACCAGATGTGGAAAACTGGGTCAGCGCTTATGAAAGCATTTATTTATCTCAAATCTGTGGACCGATATTTCTCGAATTATTGTTCCTTTGTTTTGCAGCGGGCTCCTATGTAGCTCTGACCGTCCTGGGGAGGCCTCCAGGACTTTCTCAGCTCCTCCTGGAGGAGGAGAAGGAGAAACCGAATGATGAAAAAGAGCCTCCTTCACCTTCTACCCCTTCAGCACCAAACTCACCTGCTCTGTCAGGTGAAAACCAGATTAGCTTCTTGAGTAAAAGCACGCTCCTCAGCCCCCAGAACCACCTGACCTGCTCTCCAAACAATGAGGTAAGATGGAGTTGGAACTACCAAAGTGTCCTAAAGGTTGGAAGAGTCTGGAAAATGTTTGATGTTGTTTTGTTGATGGAGACTGATATTGGTTTTAGTTCTTAGCTGGATAAAGACGTGGCGTTGCTTCAGTGCAGAGGTGGGCAATCCTGGTCCTCGAGGGCCACTATCCAGCATGTTTTAGATGTTTTGCTGCTCCAACACCTGATTCCTGGATGAATCGCCTGTTCAGCAGCTCATCAGGCTCTGCAGCAGCCCATTAATCACCAGCAGATTCACACCAGGTGTGTTTAAGCAGAGAAGCAACTAAAACATGCTGGATAGCGTTCCTCAAGGACCAGGATTGCCCACCCCTGGTACAGTATGATGTCATCAGCAGGCGACAGGTCCCTAAGCAGACCGGAGTAATCAAAATGTGGTGGTATTATCTTAGACCTATAAATCAGACTTTTTAGAGTTAAAGAAGTCCAAACCACAAACCTGAAGAGCCTCTTTTAAGATGCTTTTACTACAAGTCCTTTCTCCTATACTTGATTCGACTCTTCTGCATTTGAACGTCAAATAAAAGGGGTCAAGTGTAAATAATAGTGTTTAACAAGCTTCCTTCAGTTCGTCCGTTTTTTGAATGTAAACAAACTTCCTGTTATTTGCTGCAGCTGCTCCAGGATCAGCTCAGACTTCTGTTGAGTTCACGTACGCCTAAAAAAGAGGCTTGCCCAAATCTAAAACTCTTGAGTCCAGTTAACAACCATGAAGTTGAAGTGTTGTCCTTTCTGGGAGGGAATGTGCAGCAATTCCTGCAAGAGATGTTTTTCTGAAACGAATGCGTTATCTGTTGGCTGTGAGGAGCTCCGGTCACATGGGCTGTGTTTTATGTCCAAAAGTGAAGATTTACTAGAAGAAACCCTCAATAAAAACAACCCTAAGCTGCAGATTTTAGAGGAAAAGGTATGGAAACTAATCCCATCACCTCTGCTGATCAATAGAAAAAGGGTTAAACTGTCCAGGATATCTTGTGATTGGTCATTGGTAAAGGCTCCACATCAGGGCAGATTTCTGGATTTTCTTTAGAGTTGCTTTTTGTTTCAGGACAGAGTTTCTGGATTGAGGAATGATGAGGATGAGGAGGGAGATCCTCCATCCCTGAAGGAGCAAACCTTCCCCTTTAGGTCTGAAGGTGGACCCTTCATCATCAACAATGCTGTGAGCATGATGACACATAATTTCTGAGTCTTGTCTTGGTTTTCCTTTGTTAGATGCTTTTCTTCTCTCTCTCTCTCAAGGACGAAAGGGCTTTTTAATATCAGAACAAAACATTTAACCAAGCCGTTTTCCTATTTTCAGTTATCTTGTTTCCAAACGAGGATCCCTCGTCCAGCGTGTACGTGAACACTTTAGAGCTTCTCTCTGTTTTCCTGTTTTGGGTTAGAGGTCAAAGTTCAAACCAGAGAGTAAAAATGGACTTTTTTTTACTATTTGTTTACCAGATACAGCGTGCAATCAGGAGTTATCAGTAAAATGTTGTAGATGAATGTTAAAAGCAACACAAAGCCTCCCTGAAGCCTCGTTGTTTACAGAAACCTTTCATCACCATGAAAATGGTCCCACTTTACAGTCTCCGGGGGATTTCCCAGCATGCAGCACCAGACTAAACAATCAATTTAGTGCAACTGTTTTGCTTTTTGTTTGTCAGAGTCCAGACGTCGACCACAGAGACAACCTGGATTTCTGCTCGTCTCCTGATACCGAAGACACTCCTGACTCTGTAAGTCGCTCACGCGTTCCTCGGCCCCCCTCCCAAACAAGAACCCCATTCCTCCAGTAAGGATGCTAAGTTCTGCCCCTACTGTCAACCTTTAAAAATAATGTTTGCAAAAAAAAAAACATCTTCCTTGTCAGGAATTCTGCACACATCAAATGACTCACCAGGTTACAGCGCTCAGGTGGTTTTAGCACGTTTTACAACACCGAAGAAAAACATTTTCTTACCTAAATCTGCCCCCAAAAAATTTATTTTTTAAAGTTTATTTTCATTTGTTCACAAATAAAAACAAAACACAAAACAGGTTTGCAAAAGCAAAAAATGAAAAAGGAACAGAAAGAAGCACAACTTCTGTTATCTGTTCCCCTTAACCAAAATAAATACAAATGACAACAAAGTTATTATAGTTAAAAATAATGTCTGACCTGGTTTACTGTTTTAACTTAGGCAAAAAATGGAGAGAAAACAAATACACACACAGCAAAAAATGTTTTCTTCTTATATTAATAAAAGGAGAAAACAATCAATGCAAAACAAAACACACCAAAAATAACAGCTAAAAAGAAACAAACATAAAAGTGTGTTTTCCCTTTCATTCTCTCTACTTCATAAATACGTCTATCTCATAGCATCATATAAGCTAAGCATTTCATTTTTTACATGTCTATTAAAGGTATTTATTGTTTTGGTATTCTTGATTTCGGTACTTAATTTATTCCACATTTTGACTCCATACATTGATACACAACGTTCCTTTATATTTATCCTAGGTTTTGGTATCGTGTATATTTTGTTGCCTTTCAAACCATAACTACTCCTTCTTTCCATAAATCGTATAATCAAATTTGTTGGAAGGTGCTTTTTGTCGACTTTATACAAACATTTCAAAATTCTATAATCTCCTAGGTCGTAAAATTTTGAGAAAACATCAGTTATTTGGTGCTTTTTATTAGGTTTTATTCTCAGTTACTGGGCATTTGATGTTTTTTTTTAAACACACGCAATGATTGTCTCACTAACAGAAAAAGTAATATTAGTTAATCATGAAGACAAAATGAACCTAATTGCTGTTTGGTTATCCTTATGCTCTAAAACTGACTGATTGAATATAGGAGATGATGATGGTTGGTGTCAATACTGTCAACGTGTAGTTTTAAGACACACCCAAACATATGTATACACCGAATAATCCATCGTATTTGTACATCTTTGCATGAAAACTTGCACAGGATTGTTGCAGCATTGTGTACTGGTCTAATTAATTTCACGTTTTTATTTCCCGAATGTGTGGGAGAAGACATAATCACTGAGTACCAATTACTCACAGTGATGTTTATCAGTAAAAACATAGTTAAAAAATCAACAGCTGGTGCTTAATTCAGCGCCGTATTTGCAAAAAAATGTTATAAAATGTCTCAAATTGTTTTTCCTCAAAACAATTTGCACAAACCTCAGGGCTTTTTTCTTACTCCTGACATTTAAATGTGTGCAAAACACTCCCCGAGACAAAATTACTCCTAAAATAATAGCAGAAGCGGTCTCAGTTCAGTTTTCACAAGTCAGAGTTTGAGAGATTTGCGTCCAAATGGTAAAGAATTTAGGTGAAATAAAAAAAAATGATGGTGCAACAAGAATTTTGTACAGCAGTCAAACAACTGTTACAAATTGTTTGCAGTCATAAACCCCACGTGACTCGCCCCGTCCAAAAATCATCTAGCATAAAGCCAATTTATTTTAAACCAGCATAAAAATAATAAATAGAACAATGTCATAAAAATTGGGACGAATAAGTTTTCTATGTTTCAGTCTGCGTCTCAGATGCCTGAATCGTTTACCAGAAGGTAGTAAATCGTTCTTGGGAAACAGTCTGACTGTGAGACACTGACTCATGATCAGAGAGTCCTAACGACAGAAAAGCCTGTTTCAACGGGTACTTGTGTTTAGAGAAGAAGACATTAGGATAAAGTATATCAGGAAGATCAGGAAGATCAGCGTTTCCAAAAAACATCTGGGGAAGTGCTATTTGTTGCTGCATATTCACACATTTCCTGTTAAAGCATAGCTAGGGAGGCCACGCCCCTTCCCAAAAGCCCACAGTCTGCTTTAATTGGTCCGTTCCCTCTGCCATGCTGCAGCAAAATGACTGGTCATTATGTCCTAAAAGGCCGCAGCACTGATTAGCTAATGCTTAGTCGTTTGGCAATAACACCAAACGCAGAGTTTACGGAAGTGGTGACAAAGACCAAGAACTCTTTCTAGTTCAGTGGTTTTAGGTCATGACAGGTCAGGAAGGAAGTGTAGAGCCAAGTCGTAAAACCCAGAATTTCTCCCTGCATGTGTCCCGTAGGGCTCCAACACCAAGAGCATCGCGGGCAGTCCTCCCTACACCCTTAACGTACAGATAATAGGAGCCGAGGACGACTATTTTGACTCCCAGCAGGAGCAGGTACGTCCCTTTTTAGCTTCCTGATTCACCTACAATATCTTAATCTCACGATGTGATTTTTAATCCTCAGATTGACGATGAATGCAGCTGTTTCCAGAGCATCGACTCGCTCAAGGGTCGGCCGGCCCACCTCGCTGTCTTCCTCTACTACGTGGTGTCCCAGTTTGACCCCGCTCCTCTGGTGCGTAAACACAGAACTGAACTGCGGTGCTGATTTACCTGCAGCTGCACCCTGTTGATGAGCTAAAGGCTAAAACTCCGTCTCCTCTCCTCTCAGCTCTGCTATCTCTACGCTGACATGCACAAACAGATGAGCTCCAAAGAAAGTCGGCGCTTCTTTTTGGAGTTCCACTCACTGTTTATAGACCGAACGGCAGTGAGTTGGGCTCTCTTCTTTACGTTTTAGTCTATTCTTTTATAGTGTTTTAATGATTTTATCAGGTATCGTTTGTTTATTTCTTCCTCCTCTTTCTGTCTAGCACCTGAAGGTGCCAGTACCCGACATGGTGACGGCGGAACTGGGTAAGGGAACAGAAACTCACACTTAATAAGAAAAGGCTTCTTGAAGATATAATAATAAACCTTTTGATACGTGGATCTTAATTATTTTCACAGCTGATGTTTGAAGCTAATTTTGAGGATAAAACTGAGAATCTTACTCTCCTTTTTTTGGTACCACGTAACAAAAATGCTTTCCTTATAAATGGTTGATAATTAGTTAATGGATATGTTATTAATGCATCTGTAAACTAAAAATCATTTACATGTTTACTGTGATTTTTTAATGAAGGGGTAGAGAGAGTTAAAACAGACTGTTATCTTGCCAAATAGTGAGCCAAATCCAAAATGACTAACATGCTACACTTTACGTCTCCGTTTCATAAATGTGAATATTTATAATGCTGCATAATGATGAAGTACAAAATTATATGATAAAACTATGTTTCCAAATTGTGCTTACAAGGTACTAACTTAGTCTGAGATATAATAATATAGCAACTCTGTATTGAGTATATATGTAGGTGGACCGATTTGGCTCACTATTTGGCAAGAAACTAGTCATTTTTGTCTCCTTTTCATTCTTGAGTGAGATAATAAACATCCATCCATTATCGTCCACTTATCCGGGTTCGGGTCACGGGAGAAGCAGCATAAGCAGAGACTTCCCTCTCCCCAGCCACTTGGGCCAGCTCCTCCGGGGGAATTCCAAGGCGTTTCCTGTCCAGCCAAGGAGCATAGTCCCTCCAGCGTGTCCTGGGTCTACCTTTAGGTCTCCTCCCAGTTGGACGTGCCCGGAAAACCTCACCAGGGAGGCGTCCAGGAGGCATCCCAACTAGATGCTCGAGCCACCTCGACTGTCTCCCTTCGGTGTGGAGGAGCAGCGAGTCTACTCCGAGCCCCTACCGGATGACTAAGCTCCTCACCCTATCTCTAAGGAAGAGCCCAGACACCCTGCTGAGAAAACTCATTTCGGCCACTTGTATCCGTGATCTTGTTCTTTCGGTCACTACCCAACGCTCATGACCATAGGTGAGGGTAGGAACGTAGATCGACCGGTAAATTGAGAGCTTTGCCTTCTGACTCAGCTCTCTCTTCACCACGACAGACCGGTACAATGCCCTCATCACTGCAGATGCAGCACCAATCCGCTTGTCGATCTCACGCTCCAGTTTTCCCTCAGTCGTGAACAAGACCCCGAGATACTTAAACTCCTCCACTTGAGGCAGGACCTCATCCCTGACCCGGAGAAGGCATTCTACCCTTTTCCGACTCAATCCCATGGTCTCGGATGTAGAGGAGCTGATTGACATCCCAGCTGCTTCACACTCGGCTGCGAACTGCTCCAGCGAAAGCTGGAGATCACGTTCTGATGAAGCCAGCAGACCACATCATCTGTAAAAAGCAGAGACCTGATCCTCAGGCCACCAAAACGGACGCCCTCAACACCTCGGCTGTGCCTAGAAATCCTGTCCATAAAGGTTATGAACAGAATCGGTGACAAAGCCTTGACTCATCAAAGTACATACATTAACAAAATGAATAATTATTGATTGTTTATAAAGCAGATTAACAAATTACAAGTCGTTTATAATGGGAGTATAGTTAAAAATGGGTACCTTTGGTTAAGTTTCTTGACCGCGTGCACTGACTTCAGTCCAACACACATTTTCATCATTCAGATAATATCTGCTGTGTTCCGGTGGACGTTTTGAACTGATACTGGTCAAACGAACACCAGGAAGACACCAGAGTGTGAAGATGCAGCATTCATTAAAAGCTTCAGACCTCGGTGGTGAAACCTGACTGAACAGAGCTGTTTTGTTTGTGTTAGAAAAGCGAAGGCTGGAGCTGATTCCAGAGAATCTCTGTAAACAGTTCACCCACAAGTTGCAGGAGTCGCTCTCCTCAGAGCTGCACAAGAACCTGGAAGACTTCAGGTAGTGGACACTCGGACTTCCCCGTCAGCCTGAATGTTTTACTAAAACATGCGAGAATTGAAATATTTGCATGTGTAGACAGAAGCGCAGCATGGGTCTGACTCTGGCTGAAGACGAGCTGCCCAAGCTAGACTTGGAGCAGGGAAGAGACCAGCAGGCGTTGGAGAAGGAGTGCTCCTGTGCTGAGCCCATCCTCTCAATGATTGAACATGTCCTGTGAGTCCATGAACACAAGAAACACTTGTTCATGTGCTTTTTAACATCCTTGTGTTAACGTTTGGTTCTGTTACAGATCGTCACCTCAACCCTCAGAAGAGGAAAAGTGGTGAGGGGGGGGGGGGGGGGGGGGGTTTAGTTTTAAGTGTTTCAGTTAGCCGTAGGACCGTCTGTGTCATCTACTCCAGGAAAGTCATTTAGTTTCTGTTCTGCTGTTTTATTCATCTTTTTAACTGGATGTGTTTAATCGTTAATTATAATCCTGTTACACGGGGAATAGTTACATGACATCGTGCCAATTTTAGCTAACTTCATGTGAATCAAACCAAAACATGTGAAGTGTTTTAACGTTTAAAGGGGTCCTAGAATATAAAACCCACGTTTACCTGGCTAATGTTGAATTTGGGAATCTTGATGGGTTTAATGTACCAAACCAAAAAGTGTGTGCTGTCCGTGTAAACTAGTAATGTCGTAATGGTCACAGATAATCTGTCAGTTAGGTTTAACACGTCCTAGGCATAGACACATCTCCTAAACTGGCATGGCCCAACCCACTTTTTCTTTGTTTTATTATTTCCATTCAAAAGAAAAAAACATCAATACCAGACACATTTGAATGACAAGGGGCAGAAGGAAGAAATATCTTATATTATCTGCTCACATTTACCAACCAACATCATTAATAATGATTCATATTCCAACTCTTAAAGTATCATCTTGGTCAGTTTTGGTAATGCTAACCACAGAAAAACACTAGCTTGAGCTACTGCTAACGCTACCACAAGAAATACTAATGCTAGCACGAGCTACTGCTGAGATTAACCCAAGTTGCTGCTAATGCCAGCACAAGAAACACTAACGCTAGCACGAGCTACTGCTGAGGTTAACCCAAGCTGCTGCTAACGCTAGCACAAGAAACACTAACGCTAGCACGAGCTACTGCTGAGGTTAACCCAAGCTGCTGCTGACGTCCTTTTAGACAAAACAGTAAAAGAGAAAGGAGCGTGTCAGAGCACACATGTAACATTCCAGGATGTTCTGGGAATATCCAGAATAAATCCATAGCTTGTCTATTAAACTATCCCGACACACAGCTGTACAAAGTTTATAGCTTCAGGCAGCGTCATAGAGGCGACAGAGTAAACTAGCCAATCAGCACACAGCTCATTCAATACTCATGTCCTGGCTGACTTGGCATGACAGCCTAGTCTTTCTATTATAGTGCTTTATTATAGGGTTGTGTTTAGTCATTTATCAGGGCTTTTAGGCCATTTTGAACCCCAACAAAGTTTCATTTGACATACAGAAGAAAAGCTGTTGTAGAACATGTTCATTATTAGTTTTTGAGTGTATTAGTGAGGAATGCCAGCCGTTTCCACATTTATTTGTGAATTTTGTTATATATTTTTAAAAAGTATTTAATTTTCTGTGCAGCCAAACGATGCAATATGTGATTCTCACTTATATGAAGCACCTGGGGGTGAAAGTGAAGGAGCCGCGTTGGTTTGAACATAAACGTCTACGCAACAATCTCATACCCAAATTGAAGGTGCAACACAAATTTTTAACAAACTTCTGTGATAGACTGACTTCCTGTAAGTGAAGAAATTGTGATCAGTTTCAATGTTTGATTTGTTTTTCCATAGGGAAAAAATTCCAAACCTGACAAGGAAGGTGAGGGAAATTTTAAGAAGAATCCGTTTCCCATATCAGTTTTCCTGGTCCCTCGCCTGAGCAGAGGGGACTCCATGCACGGTGAGGAGAAATCTCCAGTTCAGCGTCTTAATGAGTCGTTCTACTCTTACCTAAGGACAGGTGAACTGTTGAAAAATGATGTTGATGTCTGATAATTTTCTGGTCTTTTTCACTTTTGAAGCTGGAGACCAGAATAAGCCACATTCACCAAAACTTCCCCAGGGGTCCATCGGGATACCTGAACTTCCCGACCACTCTGGCGTGAGTTCTGGACTAAACCGAGCAAATCAGCCAAAGGAGGTCTCATGCGCCATCAGCCAGCCTGTGTCTTTGACCGCCACGCTTGGTCCCAACTCCTTCAGCAGTCAGGCCTCCAATACGAGCAGACAGGAGATGGACTCCAGTGAGAAAATCACGCTTTTTGTTCCTCAGCTTGCTGATCGTGAAGAAATCAGATAAAGTCCGGAGAAGAGGAGAAGCACTCAATCTTTCCTTCATATTTTTTGCAGACGTGTCTCCGATCAGCATCCAGTCGAGACTGAGCGGTGGTCCACCATCTGGAGACCCACAGGATGGCCCCTCCAGTCCAACCAGCACTCATTTTGACTTCAGCTCTTCCAATCTAAACCAGCGGGAGGAAGATCCGGAGGCCTTCCGGTGTGTGTGAAGATGGGACTAGTCCTGAGCTAAAAGAAGTTTTTTGTCCTAAAACAGGAAATCGAAACTCAAAAATGTTACATTTTAATGCAGTAAATAGATGTTTGGTTTTCCCTGACTGTCATCAGGATGGATGTTCAGTCTACGGTGAGTTCTTCTGAATTACAAAGCGAAGACGACCAGGCGGGAGAGGTAGAGTGTAAGGAAGACCCTCTGAACTGGCAGAAACTCGTCAGTCGAGAAGTCCTGGCGAGTTTAACACCAAAGGAGATCAAACGGCAGGAAGTCATCAATGGTCAGTCATCAACACTTGACCCAAAAAGGGCAGAATATGCAACTAGTTCATGCTCTGACATGAGTGGGTTCATGTGTTCATCCTGTAGAGCTGTTCTACACGGAGCACGCTCACCTGCATATGCTGAGGGTGCTAGACTGTGTTTTCTGCCAAAGGCTGAACAGAGATGGCATCCTCCCACCTGAAGACATTAAGCAGATCTTCATTAACCTGGAGGAAATCATCCAGCTTCACGGTAACTTAATTCTCACGTTTGGACTCTTTGAAGTTTGCTCAGAAGAAGACAGACATCTTCTCTCTCACAGTTTCCATAACAGAGCAGATGACAGCAATCAGGAAAAGAAGTGAGACATCAGTGATTGGTCAGATCGGGGATGATCTCTTGGCGTGGGTAAGGGCTGAGCTTTAGAGGAGATCTTGGATAAAATAACATGTTTTACTCGCAAATTAGCTTTTGATGTTTTCTGATTTCAGTTCAGCGGGGAGGAAGAGGAGAAGATAAAAACAGAGGTGGGAACTTTCTGCAGCAACCAGCCGTCAGCGTTGGAGCTCATCAAAACCAGGCAGAAGAAAGACCAGAAGTTCAACCTGTTCATGCAGGTCAGCAGAAAACAGCTGGCAGTGCAGTTTACTTTAGCATGAAACAGACGACGAACATGAGAACAAGCTCCCGAAGAAGTTTCACCTCAGGATTGTCTTTAATTTTCCACATTTCACTTTGTCCTCTGTTTTCTGTCGTTTCTCAGGAAGCGAGGAGTAACCGCCTGTGCCGCCGGCTGCAGCTTAAAGACATCATTCCTGTGGAAATGCAAAGAGTGACAAAATACCCTCTGCTTCTGGAGAACATCGCTAAATACACAGGTATGGTTATGTGTATTTTACGGGGGGAGGGGGGGGGGGTGTCATCCTCATCAAACTGGTGCTTTTGTTTTTTCAGAAGATGGAGAAGAAAAGGAAAAGGTGAAGAAAGCCGGAAAATGCTGTAAACAGATCCTAAACCATGTCAACCAGGCAGTGAAAGAGGCTGAAAACAAACTGGTGAGCTCATTAGAGTATTAGATTTTAATATAAAACTACTACGCAGTTTAGAGGACAAAGGGCTTTTTGTTTTTCTCAATAGAGACTGGAGGAGTATCAACGGAGACTGGACGTCTCATCTCTCAAACAAAGTGAAAATCCTGTGATCCTGGAGCTGAGGGTAAGCGATATTTAACTGTCATAATTTCACAAAAGATTTGACTATCAGCTGAGATTCGGGTCATTGAATTGTTGTCGACAAACCACGGATGATTATTTTAAATCTGCAGCTCACGTTCAACAACGGAGTTCCTCAGGGCTCTATCCTGGAGCCTTTGGGGTCTGTTTTCACTGAATTTTAAAGTTTCTTGTTATGCAGATGACATACAGTTCTGTCTGCCTAAAAAGTGGTTCACTCCACCCTGCGATGGACTGATCTTTTAAAACTTCTTGATCCTCAGAGAATAAAAACTAACCTCCATTTATCTGACCCTGTGAAAACCTCTGTGGGATTTTAAACCAACTAACATTTTCTATTGAAATCTGGTTGTTTTTATGCAGAATATAGATTTGACCAAGAGGAAAATGGTTCACGAGGGACCTCTTTTCTGGAAAGTCAGAGACAAGATGATTGGTATATAAACACATTGTGTTATGGGGATAAACATAAAAATAAACAGTCTGGTATTTTACGTGAAGTCAAACAGAACATCCAGTTTAATATCCTCCTTTCAGAACTTTACACCATCCTCCTGGAAGACATGTTGGTTCTGCTGCAGAAACAGGACGAGCGTCTGGTCCTCAAATTTCATGGCAAGAACCTGGCCAGTGCTCTCGACACCAAACACATCTTCAGCCCCGTCATCAAACTCAACACGGTCCTGGTTCGGCCCGTCGCAACTGGTACCTCCTTTTCCATCACATTTTCATTAAGAAGCTGAAGAACATTAAAAGACATTAAACAATCAGTTTTCCTGTTTATAACATGCTATCAACTCAAAACGCGCACGGCCAACAGCTGACGTTTTGTTTCATATTGACTATTTTGTGTGTTTTGTGTATAAAACTAATGCAAGTTTTAAAAAATGTCTCCATCAGACAACAAGTCCTTCTTTGTCCTGTCCATGTCAGAAAATGGGGTTCAGATGTATGAGCTGATGGCCCAGACGGTGTCAGACCGGGAAATGTGAGACTTGCTATAAAAATGTAAAATATTTGTAAAACTAAAAATCAAACCTGTTTGTTTGTAACTTTGAGTCCCGTCTCTTCTAATCACCCAGGTGGCAGTTTCTGATTACACAACAGGCCGACACCATGAAGGCCATAGTTCACAACAACAAAAGTCCTTCAGCTCAGTCTGAGTGAGTCCACTTCTTTCAACACCACAAGCGCCGATGTTGTTTACTTGTGTCGTTGTTTACAGTTACGTGTGTTTTTAGAGCCGACCAGGAGGCAGCTCAGATCCTGAGTGATGAGATGCCCAAACAGAGCGCCGAACCCAGCGAGATGCTGAGTGAAAACACTTCAGGTAATCTCAGAGGAAACAAAACGACAGGCCCGTAGTTTTTATGGGTCTTCTAGTAAATGTTACTGCAGCTCATATTTATAGTAATAAAATACTATTTATATGCTGTCATGTCACCGAAAAAATTAGTGTGCTTTACATCTAAAAGAAATCTTAACATAGACTAAAAATGACCATCTAGAGTTCCTGTTGTGCTGTCATGTGAGTCTCTACTGCTGCTATAAACAGTCCAACCAAACCCATACATCCCTATGGCGGTAGACGCAACATGTGAGTCTCTACTGCCGCTATAAACAGTCCAAACCAAATTCATACATCCCTATGGCGGTAGACGCAACATGTGAGTCTCTATTGCCGCTATAAACAGTCCAAACCAAATCCATACATCCCTATGGCGGTAGACGCAACATGTGAGTCTCTACTGCCGCTATAAACAGTCCAAACCAAATCCATACATCCCTATGGCGGTAGACGCAACATGTGAGTCTCTACTGCCGCTATAAACGGTCCAAACCAAATCCATACACCCCTATGGCGGTAGACGCAACATGTGAGTCTCTACTGCCGCTATAAACGGTCCAAACCAAATTCATACATCCCTATGGCGGTAGACGCAACATGTGAGTCTCTACTGCCGCTATAAACGGTCCTAACCAAATCCATACATCCCTATGGTGGTAGATGCAACATGTGAGTCTCTACTGCCGCTATAAACAGTCCAAACCAAATTCATACATCCCTATGGCGGTAAACGCAACATGTGAGTCTCTATTGCCACTATAAATGGTCCAAACCAAATCCATACATCCCTATGGCGGTAGACGCAACATGTGAGTCTCTACTGCCGCTATAAACGGTCCAAACCAAATCCATACATCCCTATGGCGGTAGATGCAACATGTGAGTCTCTACTGCCGCTATAAACGGTCCAAACCAAATCCATACATCCCTATGGCGGTGGACGCAACATGTGAGCCTCTACTGCCGCTATAAACGGTCCAAACCAAATCCATACATCCCTATGGCGGTAGATGCAAGATGTGAGCCTCTATTGCAGCTATAAACGGTCCAAACCAAATCCATACATCCCTATGGCGGTAGACGCAACATGTGAGTCTCTACTGCCACTATAAACGGTCCAAACCAAATCCATACATCCCTATGGCGGTAGACGCAACATTTGAGTCTCTACTGCCGCTATAAACGGTCCAAACCAAATCCATACATCCCTATGGCGGTAGACGCAACATGTGAGTCTCTACTGCCGCTATAAACGGTCCAAACCAAATCCATACATCCCTGTGGCAGTAGACGCAACATTTGAGTCTCTATTGCCGCTATAAATGGTCCAAACCAAATCCATACATCCCTATGGCGGTAGACGCAACATGTGAGTCGCTACTGCCGCTATAAACTGTCCAAAAAAAAACATACATCCCTATGGCGGTAGATGCAACATGTGAGTCTCTACTGCCACTATAAACGGTCCAAACCAAATCCATACATCTCTATGGCGGTAGACGCAACATGTGAGTCTCTACTGCCGCTATAAACAGTCCAAACCAAATCCATACATCCCTATGGCGGTGGACCCAACATGTGAGTCTCCATTGCCGCTATAAACGGTCCAAACCAAATCCATACATCCCTATGGCGGTAGACGCAACATGTGAGTCTCTACTGCCGCTATAAACAGTCCAAACCAAATCCATACATCCCTATGGCGGTGGACCCAACATGTGAGTCTCCATTGCCGCTATAAACAGTCCAAACCAAATCCATACATCCCTATGGCGGTAGACGCAACATTTGAGTCTATTGCCGCTATAAACGGTCCAAACCAAATCCATACATCCCTATGGCAGTAGACGCGACATGTGAGTTTCTACTGCCACTATAAACGGTCCAAACCAAATCCATACATCCCTGTGGCAGTAGACGCAACATTTGAGTCTCTATTGCCGCTATAAACGGTCCAAACCAAATCCATACATCCCTATGGCGGTAGACGCAACATGTGAGTCTCTACTGCCGCTATAAACTGTCCAAAAAAAAAACATACATCCCTATGGCGGTAGATGCAACATGTGAGTCTCTACTGCCACTATAAACGGTCCAAACCAAATCCATACATCTCTATGGCGGTAGACGCAACACACGTCCCGTTTAAACTTCTGTTTATTTTTTAATTTAAAAATATTTCTTCTTGTTGAGAGATGCGTCTGCAGCATTTATTTGTTCTGCGTTGTAGTTCTATCTGAGGATTTTAAGTTTATACACACATAACAGAACTACAAGACCCATGATGCAACCGGCAGACCAACTAAAGCAGGTGGTTCCTCTGAGGCTTAAACTGGTTTTTAGTTCATGTAGTGAGTTGAGCCAAAGCCATTTTGCTACACTATGAACCACCAGCTTCGTTTTCATGTTTATTTAGTTAAATTTGACTAAAACCTGAACTCAAAAGCCTAAACTTGTCTGGATTCCAGATAAAGACTCTCCTCTGGAAATCCAGCCTCCCATCAACCCCTTTGAAGACATAAAATCAGAAGATGAAGAGAAAGTTTTGTCTCAGGAGGAAGAAGATGAGGAAGAAGTTCTGGTTGTGGCCAATAGACTACAGGAGGAGGAGGAAGAGGTGGATGAAGCAGAAGTGGAGGCTTTTCTGGATGGGCAGCTGGCGGACAGACTTCTGCAGGAGATTGTTGTTGAAAACAATCATTCTGAGTTTAACACCTCCTCCTCTAAAGCTGAAGAGGCTCTGCAGACGCGTAAGATCACATATTCTGTCATCTCATATTTTTAAATGACAGAGATTCATTTTTATAATCTTGTGTTTCAGTGTTGATGCTGAAACAGGTGATTTTTAGTCACATGATGAGCAGAGAGGCAGAGGAGACAGATGAAGGTAAACCCAGCGGCGCCTCAGAGGATCAGGCAAATCAGGGTTCCCCTGCTCAGTCCGACGGGATTAGAACGTCTGAGAGTTCAGAGGCAGAGCCGCTGTCTGTCCCCACAGAGGAGTCCGAGGAAACCCAATGTAATGGTACGCAGCACCAGAGTGTGCAGGAAGCTTTTACTCTTTAGGTCTTTGTTAATTTTCTTCTTTCACCAGGTGGTTTCATGGTTCTGGATTGTGAAGGAGGCCCAGAGGAGATGAACGATGCTGAAGCTGAGGTTGGGATCGACATGAGGAAGCTGCTGTCCTCCTCATCGCTGGCAGGGAGCAGTGGACCCGACCTCAGCAGGCAGCTGATGACCCACCTGCGCCTCCTACAGGCCAACCTGCAGTATTTGAAGGTAGCTCAGATACAGCCAGTCACAATAACCAGCGTATTCACCCCCCCCCACCACCACCACACACACACACACACACACACACACACACACACACACACACACACACACACACACGGTTGTGTAGAAGTGCATCTTTGTCAGAGTGAGGAAAAGAAATTAAAGGCACGATGTGTAATATTTTTACTTGATTACTATCCACTTCTATGTAGCGGTTCACAAACTTCACCAGTCTCCACTTTTGGTTCTTTTTAAAACACAGGAAAGTTTTTTTTTTACCTTGCTAACGTTTCGTTTGCCGACTGCAAAACATCCTCAGAGCTGACGCTGATGGCAGCGTCACTTCCTTCTCCGTTTATCCACAGGCAGCAGAGGACGTTGTCGCCCTCTGCTGCCTGCTAACGTCCTCTGCTGCCCGCTCTCCCCTCTCCGATGATGCATCGCCATGCGCGATCCAATGTGTAAACCCCCATCGTCTCTGTTCATGGTCCCACATCCACGTCTCCTTATCTCGATTGCTTCTTTTATCCATCTTTTGTATTTTTATTGTTCGGTGTTTATCATCCTTGTGTTGTCCCAGTCCAGTACGTGGTTTTCTCTTGTGCAGTGATCGTTTACGGCTGAGTTCTTTATTGTACTTTCTGCTTCTTCTTTTGCTGCTCTTGTGTGTCTTTCTCATGTAGCTAGGGCCAACAATGAGCTAATACTAACAAGGGCCAACTGCTAATAAATAAACCACGAAGTAAAAAGACCCACACTGTTGAACCAAAAAATATTTACTTACAAGTCCAGTAGCAACAAAGCCAGGTCACTATCAGCCTGATATTTTACAGCCTCCTTTAGCTCCCTCAAACTAGTGTAGGCCGCGCTGATGCTCACTCTGGTTTTAGCACCTTTATTTGACCTTTTACAAGGTAATTTCTTGTTGTAACAAGTTTTAAACATGTCTTTATAGTGAGATATTTTTTCTGTGCTGCTACGGTAATACATTCCTGTACAGTTGCATTTAAAATACAATTTTTTAAATTGATTTTTATCTCATTCACTGCCATTGACGACGGCTTTACCGATCAGGAAACGTCTGGCAGCGAATGAGTTAAACAAAACTGCTATTCAGCTCAAATTGAACGGATGCAAAGCTAGTAGAAAATGTGTTTTCTTCTGTGTGTGTACATGTGTGTGTACATGTGTGTGTACATGTGTTTATTAGTAATCTCACAAACCACTGGACACATTTGAATGAAGTATGAGTTTTTGTTGTTTTAATGTTCTTACAGGAGGTAGAGCTGAAGTACAAAGAGCTGCAGAGAATCCAGCCCAGTCCAGCAGAGGACTCCGTCCACAACTATGGTGGGCTTCATTTCATTCAGTCAGCTGATTCCTCTCCATGTTGCATCCATATTAATGTTGTTTATTGTCTTTTAAATGCTTCAGATGGAGTTCAGTGACCACAGACCTCCTGATCTCCTCTGGAAGGGCCGTCTCACCTCGTTCCATCCTTCCTCTGACACACCTGTAGAGGCCTGGAGTTCCACCAATCAGCGTCTGAGAAACATATCGGCTTATTTAAAGGACTAACCCTGCTCAACTAGTAATCTTTCAAACACTGGATGTACAGTACAGGAAAGAAGTTGAGGGTTTGTTGTACATAGAGATGAAGAGACTATTATGAGATGCTTCAGCGCAGCATAAGAATAAAAGCAACTGTCAAATACTGAAAGTTGCTCCGAGATGAAAATGTAGCTACCGTTTATAAACGTCGGGCTTTGCAGATGATTAAAGAACGCTGAGGTGACTCTAAACCAACCCGACGCTCAGAAACTAAATCACTAAATAAGAACACAAGAGGAAACTTTAACTTTGAAAACAAATGATAATACTGTTCAAGAATTTTATAGGATTTATTTTTTTTATTTATAGTAAAAATATTCCGATATAAACCAAAATCTGATCTCTAGGGAATTTAATTTAACGTGTTAGTTGGAAATTACCAAAAAATCAATTTTCATTAATCCTGAAAGTTATTATTCTTCAGAAGCATTTAGCATTTCTTCTCCTGTGTTTGTTTTTGTGAAGTTGGAGAGCGTGTTGGCCCTTTTCTTGTCTTGAACCTTCCTCTGTGCCGTGTTTTTGGATTATTGCTGTTCTAAGATCATCCAGGACCCAAACGCTTAGCTTGAACTTGTACTTGGTGAAAAATTAGGCTGACGGTAACCAGTTCAAAGGTTTAGTCTGGTAAAATTTTGTTTATTGGAGAAAATCGCAAGACCAACACAAATCAGGTTGTTGAAAAATGACCACTTTAACCCCAAAAGCAGCTCAAAATAAGGATCATAATTTCTGATTTAATCTCCTAAAGTACATGGGATTTATTTATAACACTAAACATACAATTTCCTCCTGCTGCCCCCTAGTGGTCAATGGTTCTACTAAGATTAAAGAATAAGTTGGAGGAGGTAGTTTACGGTGCAACCATCGACATTAATATATGGACAATGGGTTTCCATAGGCTCCAATAACAAGTTTTTGTGCTAAAATGGGAGGTTATCATCAGTCTAAATGCTACAGCAGAGGTAGTATATAATATCAAAATAAAATAATTAAAATACAGTTTAGAAGAAACAGGAAAGCAGGGCAGAAGTAATATAAAAACGTCATCTGTTCAAACTTTGGAGCATCAAAGTCTCTGAATATTGAATTATTCATTATTTTAATCATTTTATTTTGAATTAGCAGCTTATGGGTGAAAATGAACACAAATCATCCTAACTGTAGTCTGAATACTGGATCCTAATCAACTTGCTCTTCTGGACAGCCACATCAGAACTCCTAACATTCCCATTTTTTAGTCATGATTTAGGTTTTTTTATTCTTTTTTTTTTTTTTTGGTTTTTTATTTTATTTTATTTTTTGCTCATAATTAACTCATTCGCTGCCGGCGTTTCTCACCATTTTTACTGTTTTTTTAAGAATCGCAGAACGTTGCACGCTAGGATGATGTCGACGCCAAAACAACCAAAACAAAGCAGAGACTCACCTCTTACATCAGGAAGAATCTGGGCGTTTCGAGCGTTATCCGTTCTTTCATAATCCGTTGTTGAATTGTGATCGACAGAAGCTTTTCCAATTCGCGCCTCACTTTTTTACAGCAGCGGCCCAAAACGATTTCCTAACACATGGATGTTCTGCTTCTTGATCAGGTGACGTGTGACGTAGGCGGATGAAGATCGGCTGTAGAGCTTAGATGTTTGTTCTCACGGCGCGGGGGCTCGTCCGACGCCCACACATTAAAAAGATGGCAGTGAATGAGTTAAGGTCTTTTTCTTTCATTTTACCAGAAAGGGATGGATTTTTAGGTTTTCCTAAAGAAATGGTCACTGCCGTAAGATACACACAATTCATGTGGAGATACGGTTTACTTGGTTTTGTAGTTAAAAGGGACGAGCACCCAGCTTCTGCGTTTTAAATTTCCTGAAATGTAGCATCATCTAGAAAGCTCCGCTACGTTCCATCATGTTCTTATGAGTTCAAGATATTATGCAGAAAATAACTGATGTGGTGAAAGAAAGCCACAGTAACTGAATCATTTGTGGGTTTTCTGCAGCTGGTTTTTATGAACATGCTTGCAGCTCGTTTTCGATCAGGAAGAAGTCTAACTTCACCGATCTCACTTTAGCTTTGATTTAAAGTGGATTATTAGGGAAAAGATCCCTGAAAAGCCTCATAGATTAATAACTGTAAGCATTGCTTTTTTATTCCTGTCACCATGATATCATGTAACATACCACCACTAATTATTCTCACATATTTAAATGTTGGTTTTTCATCTTATTTTAATGTTTTTTAACTGACAACAAAACAAACAAACTGAAAATGAGCTTAAGGTTTCTTATATGGTGGTGAAGTGGGATTTTTATGGCGTCGGACAAAAATCTACATATTCTTGAATGATTTTAAAACCAGTTTCCCTCAATGAGACCTTAGAAGTTTCATCTTTATAACCTCGAATGTTTCTCTTGTCTGCACTGATGTCATTTATTGAATGTTTATATGACTCTAAGAGTCGCAGTTTGCCCGAATATAAAATAAAAAATTGGAAAAAAGGCATTAGGTAAATAAAAGGTGGATTTGTCTCATTTCTAATTTAGTTTCTGAATATGAACATGTTTTATCTTCTACCAGCAGCCTATTTAAAGCTCTAATTATGGCGCTCATGGACTTTTTGTTTATTGGGAACCAATTCTTCCTTTTCACTTTTTCACTACTGTTGCTGCTCTGACATCAAAATCCTCTGGTGCCCCCTTGTGACCTGGGGACCCCAAGCAATTGTCTGCCTTGCCAGTTGGCTCGCGGCGCCTCTGGTTTGACTTTGTCTGTGAGATGTGTCTGGAGATGTTTGTAATCTAAAACGAAAACATCTGTTTTTATTTAATTTTCAGAATCAAAGTTAAGCACTGAAAAATAAAAGATTTTATTATCTGGTACTTGAATGCATCACAGCAAAAATGTTTCAGCAGATTTTATTTTGGAAAAAGGATTAAAAATAAACTAGTTATGGTTTATTAATAATATTAATATTTTGGGCTGCATGGTGGTACAGTTGGTAGGTCACAGATTTGAATCCCATCTGTGGCCTTTTTTTGTTGTGGAGTTAGCATGATGTTTGTGTGTGTGTCTGTGATGGACTGGAGACCTGTCCAGAGTGTCCCTAGACACGCTCCTGGAGACCCTACTGATGAAAAGCAGTTAGGAAGATGAATAAAATCTTAGTTTTTATGTTTTCTGGTCAAAAAAGAAAAATGTTCTGTCTTCAATTAGAAAATGAAAAGCAGAAACTACTTAATATAAAGCAATAATAGTGTTTGTTGTGGCCTTTTTGTTGGATAAGGCATGCCTTAAGTGCACAATGAGTACTGGGCTGAAATGTCCTTACAAATAAAAGGGCAGTTCAAAATGCATGTTCGGATACGCTGATCCATTTATTAAAGTAAAAAGGCAGAGAAAATAAAAGCAAAACTCAGAGAATATTGATGCCAACACTATCCTGCACCAGAGCCGTGTCCAGGAATTTTAAAATGGGGTGGCCCATATGGGGCACTTGTTTATGCATGGGTGGCACCAATGGTTATGCTTATTTACGTATTTACACAAATCGTTTATTTTTTTTTTACTTTCTTTTAAATTTTTGAGTTTCACATTGCACAATCACCATTTTTTCTCTTCATCTTCTAGTTTTGTGGTGGTTAGCAAGTCACTTCTTGTTGCATTACTGCCACCATCTGGAGTTGAGTGGGACTAAATACTTTTTATGTGAATATGAAAAATAAATAATAATATTACAGAAATGTTCTGTAGGCCTGGGCTAGAAAACAATGTGAAAGGAGCATGCAACCACACACCATTTTGGAATTTATAACCCAAGCCTTTTGTCGACATTGTAAAGTCAATTTGAACTGGAACTTAGTGGGGGTGGCTGGGGTGGCCAATCAAATTCTAAGGGTGGCGTGTGCTACCCTAGGCCACTCCCTGGACACGCCCCTGTCCTGCACGGTCAAACCGTTTGTCTCCAAAGCCACACACACCTGTCGCTTGATTAGGCCACCTTTAACCTCTAAGTAGAGCCCCTCCCAGAGTGCCCTCCGCAGTAATTGGCTCCAGCAGTGTTTATCATAAGTCACAGCATATAAAATAGCTGCACATAGCAGCTCTGTCCAAACCATCAAATATAAATGAGATTTTAAAGCTTCAGTGGCTTTTAGTCTGAAGCAGGTTTTCTGTGTTGATGCCACTGAGCTGATGGTTCTCCATCCACTGTTTATACTTGGCTCTGCTTTTCTTGTACCCAAATCTAGCTATGTCCACCATGAACACCCACGCCAGCAGGTACATCACTACCCCCCCGAGCTTCATAATCATCAGTGTCCTGGGGGAGGTGAGCTCACAGTAGAACATCACAGTCCCCACACCCACGCGCACCGTGGCGAAGAGTAAAATAAAGAGCAGGTCCACCGCGTCCCCTAGCAGGCCCTCGTACAGGCCCAGCTGGCGGAGGAACCAGCGGCTCTGGAGCAGGGGGTTGGTGATCTCGCTGCCAAAGATGACCCCACAGGTTTCGCAGCCCGACACGCCTGTGAACAACGCCAGCAGTATGCCCAGGATGCTGGCGGTGTGGTGGGCCATCATGACCGGGCCTTCGGTGCGGTAGCACACACACCAGCTCAGATCAAAGAAGAAGTAGCCCAGGCAGACGGCCAGAGAGAAGACCTGGAGATCTGTGTTTTCTGTCCCTGGAGGAGAGGAAAGGTCTTTAAGCTTTTCTTAAAAAAAAGTTTTTAATTTAAAAGATTTAAATCAGGGGTGGGCGATCCCGCTCCTCAAGTGCCACTGTCCCGAATGTTTTAGTTGTTTCTCTGCTCCAACACACATGGTTTTAATCAGCGGGTGAATAACAAGCTTCTGCAGGACCTGGTGAGCTGCTGAACAGGCTAATTAGGTACGTTGGAGCAGGGAAACAACTAAAACAGACTGGATAGTGGCACCTGGAGGACCAGGACGGCCCGACCCCGATTTAAGGCTTCATTAATGCAGCGCATGGGTCAGTAAGAGTCAGTATTTTACCTGCGTCAGAATCACAGATATTTTAAAAAGTATTTTTCCAGTTAAAATTGGTAAAAGTATTTTTATGTCAATTTTTACATGAAAAAAGTCTTTAATTTCTAAACTAACTTATAGCTTCCTCTGCTCCGTGGCTGCTTCAGGTTTCCTAACGCAAATATTTTCTAATCCATTGTTTTTGTTTGTAGGAATAATTATTTAATGGGTTCACTTTGATCAAACATGAACTCTTCTCTGACGTTCCTGATTCTTCCAGCTGAGATCACTGCTGTCTCCTGCACTAAACACAACAACTGCTGTTGTGGTGGTAGAGCTAATCTGCCATTTAACGACCTAAGTAATATGGCTTACTGATAAAAAAAATTACTGATCTAATGTTTTACTTCATGCAAATCCAGTAAGAAAAGGTGCAGCAAAGCTTGTTTGAACCCTCAGGACACCAGCCACTAAAATTAGCACCAATATTTATTTATAACCTCCTCAAACGGCTTAATGACGGAGTTTATGCTGAAGGGGCATCAATCTGAGCCTCTTTGGAGTAAAAGTTTAAATTCACGCCTCCTCATGGTGCAGTTTTAGGTTCCTTGCATCTCCATACTACTGACCTGCATGTGTGAAGGGCCAGGGTCCATCAATAAACACCACATATGCTGTCAGCAGCACTATGAGGACCCCGTGGGTCAACGTGACCAGGCGGCAGTTCCACTCAGCTCCCCGATGAGGAAAGGTGCAGCAGAACAGCAGGTAGAGGCTCAGCCAGCCAATCAGGCTGCAGGCCACCTCTAACACCGGCATGTCCATCTGGATCTGAATGATAATGATAATGATGATTATTATTATTATTATTATTACTATTCAGCATCACTTGTTTCTGTTATTCTGTAAAAAAAAACTAGACTGTAGAAAGAGTCATCTCTGCCCTGATTGGTCAGTTCTCATGGCCCGATCAGACTCCGCCCCCAAATATTCTCCACTAAAACTTGACATTCAAACAACTTTTTTGTTTAATCCAAAATTAGAATGTCCTATAATTGCATTTATGCTATTTTTCACACAAAATATCTCAAAGAACAACAGAAAATGTGTCTTTATTTTTGTAATTTTTTCAGATAATTGATGATAAAACTGCAAATTATTATGGAAGGCTTTAAAAAACATGCAAAATATTTTATCTCAGAATAGGTGGAAAAATAGAAGACTAAATCCTGCATGGCTGCTCTACAGACTTACCTTAACTCCCCTTTGTCCCAGTTGTCCTAAAACTCGTGACCCATGTCATCTCTGTCAGGCGTCCTCAGCCTGCGTCCCTGTTCATGTCCCATAAAGTCATAAAGTGTCCCACTAACTGTCCACAGCTCAGGTGGACAGGAAAGCCATGTGCACACCACCATGGACAGTTGGCACATCCCGAATCCCTCCCCCTGGATCGCACACTCGATCCTCTTAAAAGATTACAGACTCTGCAGAGACCTGCTTTTAGTTTTGGACAGGTCGGGTGGTGCCAGGCTGCTGGGACTCATTCAGGACGTATCCTCTCATTGATCTTCATTTTCTGGATGATTTCATTTAAGTTGTTGAATATTTGAATAATTAATAAGGATTGATCCATTTTAAAATTCTTAACTGAATATATTTATTAACTGAATTAAAATCTTTATTGAGTTTCATCAGAAATAAACAAAAGATAACGTAGAATTAGAAACAGCCAACCGATCTATCTGCCCCAATCTCGGGTTTTTTCAAGATCGGTGATCGGCCAAAACCTGCAATCAGTTCGCCCCTAGTTCTAGTTAAAGCAAATTATTGCTATGGAGTCATTTTTTTGGACAAATGTGTCAAAACAGGTACAAAGGTTTGGTTTTCAAATTTAGAAAACTGAAAGTCTAATGGAACAAATATGATTTTGTAGTTAAACAGCAATGCTATATGTTAATTTATATTTGAGAACATGACCTCATGTCCAGTTGAATCTGGTAATGTTTCATATTCATATTGGTTTTCTCAATAAAAGGAAATTCAAACATTGACATAATCTGCTTTTAATTGAGACAAAATCAGTATCGACAAAAATCGGTATTGACTAAAATCGGTATCGGCAAGTCAGGTTTTTCTCAAGATCGGTGATCGGCCAAAAACTGCAATTGGTGCATCCCTACATAGAATCTCTAAATTTAAGTATTTTGCCAGATTTTCACCACTTCATTATATTTAACATTATATTTTTTACTTTATATTTAAAAATAGGAAATCTGTAAGCTTGTATGTTTATTTTTCATGTAGTTGTAGCTTTTTGTTCATGATTTGATATTTTTCTTGCTCTAAAGCAAAATTAAAAACCCAACGAGGCTGTGATAATACATGTTTTAATTCGAACATGGCTGTTTTTTCAAACTGACTCATAATTTTGTTTATATATATATATATATATATATGTGTGTGTGTGTGTATATATATATATATATATATATATATACATATATATATATGTTTTATGTTTTATTCATTTGGCAGACGCTTTTATCCAAAGCGACATACAATTTATAACCTATAGGGCATGTTGTGATCTGTGGGGGAAACCGGAGCACCCGGAGGAAACCCACGCATGCATGGGGAGAACACGCAACTCCATGCAGAAAGGCCGCAGCCGAGTTTCAAACCTGCGATCTTCGTGCTGCGAGGCAACAGTGCTAACCACTGCACCACCATGCAGCCCCTATACATATATGTATGTATATCGTTGATATTTTTATTTTTGTTTTGTTTTTTATCGAGAACTTGTGCAACTATTTAAAGTTGCATTGGTGATTTAATGAGCAGTTTTAAACATTTTGATCTCACCTGATCTGATATAATGATGATTTTAATGAGTTTAAATACAGCTTTATGGTGCCACAGCTTATGTTCAGTTATTAGAAGATTTACTGAGCAAATGCAAACTTGCAGTGCATTTGGAACAGTCTACAGCTACAGAAAAGCTCCTCTTGACACTTTTATGCTCTTTAATGCCCTCTAAGAGGCAGAAGCCTAACCCAACCCACAGACAGCGTCACTTCTCTACATAGTGCAACGCATCCTCCAGCTGAAGCAGGTATGACCTTTTCACCTGTGGCTCTTCGGGTGTTTTAACTCAGGTGAAGCTCGGGTGCTCACCTGACAGAGCTGCACCATTAACTCACTTCCAGAGTCAGCTATAATCTGAGATGAGAGTAGATGATCGGCCTCAGCTGAAACAAACAGATACTTCCACTGTGTTACATTAATTAGTCATGCCATGATGCCCTCTGAGGAAAATTAATTTCTATGCAAATAGAGAATTTTCTTTAAATTTGTTTTTTTAACAGAGATCTGTGTAAAAAGAAAAAGTGTGAATTATTTCTAAAAATATTAAAGAAAATCTAAACAGAACGCATTAATACAAATTACTTCTTTTTTTTTTTAAATTTACTCTCAGCTGTGTCATCTTTAATTTGAAAGGAAATTCCTACCATTGTTTTGTTATTACACAAAATGGTTTTGCATGCTGGGGTTGTTTTTTTCTTTGAGTAATTTAGCAAATAAAAAATAAAGTAATCTAGCATCTGCAGCTCTTAATGTTCTTTCTGGGAATAGTTTTTTATTTAACAAACTTTTGAGTCAACGTGGACAATGTTTTCATCCTTTTTTAAGCATTTTAAACTTATTTCTGCTTCTTGTTTTTAAACATTTTGATTTATTTTTGATTCGTGTGATGTTTATATTTTTATTAGCACAGGATCTCCACAGGGCTGTGTACTTTCTCCTCTGCTCTTCTCCCTGTACACAAACTGCTGCACCTCGAGCCATGACTCTGTTAAACTGATCAAGTTTGCGGACGACACCACCCTCATCGGGCTCATCTCTGACGGTGATGAGTCCGCCTACAGGAGGGAGGTGGATCGGCTGGTGTACTGGTGCAGCAGCAACAACCTGGAGCTTAATGCTCAGAAGACAGTGGAGATGATTGTGGACTTCAGGAAAGTCACAGCCCCATCTCTCCCCGTCGTCCTGACTGACCTCCCCGTCACCACTGTGGACTCCTTCCGCTTCCTCGGAACCATCATCACACATGACCTTAGGTGGGAGCCATCCATCAGCTCCCTGATCAAAAAGGCCCAGCAGAGGATGTACTTTCTGCGGCAGTTGAAAAAGGTCAAGCTGCCGGCCCAGATGATGGTGCAGTTTTACACGGCCATCATTGAGTCCATCCTCACCTCCTCCATCGCTGTGTGGTACGCTGGAGCCACAGTTAGGGACAAACACAGACTGCAGCGCATCGTGCGCTCTGCTGAGAAGGTGATTGGCTGCAGCCTTCCATCTCTCCAGGACCTGTACGTCTCCAGGACTCAGGGGCGTGCAGGTCGGATAGCAGCTGACCCTTCTCACCCGGGTCACAGACTTTTTGAGCCGCTTCCCTCAGGCAGGAGGTTACGGTCCATCAGGACCAGAACCTCCCGCCATAAGAACAGCTTCTTTCCATCTGCAGTTAGACTTGTGAACTGCTTATAAACACAAAACCATGCTGGTCTTCTGTACTTGACACAACATCACGTTATCAGCCATGTTACCATTACCAGCCATTTTTTATAGCTGAAAGTTTTATTCTATTTTATTCTATTTTTAATCTTATTGTTCATGTTATATGTAGCACATTAGTACCAAAGCAAGTTCCTAGTTTGTGAATTGTTTGTTCACGGACAATGGCAATAAACCTATTCTGATTCTGATTCTGGTTTCAAATTCCCTTTAGGTCAATTATGTTGAGTCGTGGTGTTGTACCCTCCAGTCCAGCAGGTGGCGCTCTGTCCTAAGGGCTTAGCGTTAGCTGTGATCACAACTGTACTGGGAAAATGTTTGTTAGCTCTTATTTAAACTACCCTGAAATATATTAGTCGACTTTCATTTATGCTTTAGTAATTTATTCAGAGCTCATAACCAGTCGTTCGGACGTTGTAAAACACTCGTTAAAAGGCGATAAAAGGTAAGTTTACCCCTAGTTTCAGGGCTGCGTGGACACGAAGCGGAGGTGGAACTCAGTTCATTAAGCCTTAAATTTAACTCAAATCTGCATGTTTTCCTGAGCACGGAGGAGTTAGGAAACATTTTATTAAATTATCCGCATTTATAAAAGCCTTTCTAAGACTCGGCCATATTGCAGTTTGAAAAACATTTGCAATTTAAAGGTTTTCGACAAAATGTGAGCAAAGATAGCATACGTGAAAGCACCAAACTTGGTGTAATATCAAAATACAATTTTGAGAAACCTCGAACAGGTACGTAGTACTTCCAGCTGAATTTCCTGTCTTGGCATAATTGTACTTAAATTATAAAACTAAACTTGACTGAATGATACATTACTTTTAATTCTAAAAATATAAGGATGCATAAATAAAATATCAAACATGAACATTATAAATACCTCATTAAAGGTGCAGTATGTAAGAATGTAGTGAGGATTTTACAGTTAGAAAATCCCAGAAGCGTCTGCTTCAGTCATTTTGGAAGTAAGGTTATACTGAAACACTTTGAATGTTTGTGTTTATTCATTTCGCAGATGCTTTTATCCAAAGCGACTTACAATTTATAACCTATAGGGCATGTTGTGATCTGTGGGGGAAACCGGAGGAAACCCATTCATGCATGGGGAGAACACGCAACTCCACGCAGAAAGGCCGCAGCCGAGGTTTGAACCTACGACTTTCGTGCTGCGAGGCAACAGTGCTAACCACTGCGCCACCATGCCCAGCTGGCTGTGGGGATTGACAGTTTTTCTCCTTTCAAAACAAAGGGAGGAGGGACATAGCTACTATTTACCATCAGTGACAGGGTTTTTCCTGGCTCAAACTGAGGCAGAGGTGGTACCATCCTGACCATGCGCCAGCACATGCATACTCTGTGTATTCAACTGACTCACTTTTTAAAAGGCAAATTATTATAAAAGGCTCAATAATATACCACAACGGCTTGCCTTACTTTCTGTGCCAGCAGTAATATGACTCACATCTGCAGCGGTTCTGATCCGTAGCGCTGCAGGATGCAGAATAAACAGGATGGTGGGGAATTTTCATCCGCTTGTAGAGTTTAGTCTTTCTTAGTTTTACCATCATCATCATATATTTTTCTGTGCGCCACTTGATCGTGAGACTGCTATCCGTTAGCTTTAGCATTAGCCAATCTGAGTGTAGCTGCACTTTTGATCCCAGACTTTGTACCGGTTCTGCCTTTGCTGGTTCCTTTATTGTCCTCCACTGCATCCAGATGACCACACTGTGCGCCAGTAAAAAAGCATTTTTCTTACACGTAACTTACTTTTGTTCAATAAAGTTCTGGGGAAAACAGAAATTCAAAGATGTTGCACCAGTGCTACGTTTAAAAATAGACAGACACGCACAGACAGTTGTTTTCGTCGCACTGTACAGCCCTGCTCTGATATGGAAGAGCCTGGGGGAAAATCAGGACGTCACTAGCACCAACCATAGATATGTACCAACTAGCGAGAAAAGCTATTTTTGATTTATTTCTGCAGCAGTTTTAGTGCTTTTCGGTGCACCGCTGCTAATACAGCATCCCTCTTGTGGCGCAACTCTGCAACTGCAGTTAAAATAACATCCATATAGCTGTGGACAGAGTGAAATCAGGCTGGGGCGGCACAAAATTAGCTGGAGGTGGCTGCCACACAAATTTTAATGCAGGAAAAACCCTGAGTGAGTGGGGGGTAGTCATGTCTCCTGCGAGCCAATACTGCAGCGCCGACAATTGTAATTTGACGACTAACGGTAAAAAGCTCCTAAGTTGTTTAAAGTGGTTTCAGTAACCAAATTTTACCACAGACATTTTTACTTCATTTCTACATAATGCACCTTTAAATTTTTTTAAAACTATTTTCACATTTCAATATTTTCAAAGATATGTTTCTACAAGTTGGGGCTGCGCAGTGGTGCAGTGGTTAGAGCTGTTGCCTTGCAGCAAGAAGGTCCTGGGTTCGCTTCCCGGCCTGGGATCTTTCTGCATGGAGTTTGCATGTTCTCCCTGTGCATGCGTGGGTTCTCTCCGGTACTCCGGCTTCCTCCCACAGTCCAAAAACATGACTGTTAGGTTAGTTGGTCTGTCCAAATTGTCCTTAGGTGTGAGTGAGTGAGTGAGTGAGTGAGTGAGTGAGTGAGTGAGTGAGTGAGTGAGTGAGTGAGTGAGTGAGTGAGTGAGTGTGTGTGTGTGTGTGTGTGTGTGTGTGCGCGCATGGTTGTTTGTCCTGTGTGTCTCTGTGTTGCCCTGCGATGGACTGGCTCTCTGTCCAGGGTGTACCCTCCCTACTTACCCGTTGACTGCTGGAGATAGGCACCAGCCCCCCCGCGACCCTGCGTGGACAAAGCGGGTTCCGAAGATGGATGGATGTTTCTACAAGTTCATTAAAAATGGCAAAAAAAAAACTTTTATTTTTACAAATAATATTTCATGCATATCCTTTTTTTTCCCTGTTATGTGTGTTTTTGTCCAGGATGATGGCTTTTCCACGCGTGCGTCTGTGTTCTCGCCACATAAGCGTGAGCCCTAACCTTTGTGGTTATGCCACCCTCCCTGGTGCATCACGACCTCAGGAGAAGAACAGCACTAGTCCAGTTTTCCAGTTTGTCGGCGAGCACAGAAAGCCAACACGCAAAGTATTTGTGTGGGGCTTCAGCTTCACCGGGGCCCTTGGGATCCCCAGCTTTGTGGTGCCGGACAGCGGCAGGAAAAATCCCAGGAAGTATCAGCTGACTCCGTACCGCCTGGAGACAGCAGAGCAGGTGAACGTCATAAGTTACGACATCTTTTAAATCACAAAAGCTTTTGGGATTTTTGTTGTTGAAGATGTTGTTTCCTAAAGCCTCAGTTAAAATAATTTCATCCAAATAATTATGCCTTGTTTTGCTTACATATATAGAGTTTCTCTCGGTGTCAGACTTTGGCCCTTTCTTTCATAACAATTGACCAAATAGGCATCACATGGTCTCATTTAGTTATGTTCCTGTGATCTGGAACACAAGGTTAACTGCAGAGCAGTGGGGTGTGTATTTTATTACTCGATGTCCCCTGTAGCAGTTTTAATGTCTCAGTAATCAGTCTCAGCTGAGTAAACCTGATTTCGGGGCCTAATTGTTGAGGATAATTGCTAAACGTGACGTATGATCAGGATAAAATGGGACTCTTAGGCCACCATGATCTCCATACATGATCTACTTTTGAATAGTTGAATAAATCTGCTGCTCTTCTGCTGCAGATCACTTCTGCTGCTTGTGGTTACGGCTTCACTCTCATGGCATCCTCAACCAAAGACACATCCAAGCTGTGGGGCATGGGCCTGAACAAGGACTCCCAGTTGGGCTTCCGGCGCACCCAGCAAGACCGCAGTAAGAGTCATAAATGAACGTTTTTTCCTCATTCAACTAAAGACATGAAAAAACGGCACCCGTGCAACATTTGTAAACTGTTTAGCAGTTAAAAAACCCCCATCGGGGTTTGAAACCATTTCAGAAGCATATTTTGTGACTAGGGTTGTCACGGTAACCGGTGTAGCGGTAAACCCCAGTAAAAAAGTTGACAATAAGAATAACCATCTTGTTTAAAAAAAAAAAATCTCGGTGGATTACCGTGGCTGCGGTGTAGGCGCGGTGACCCTTACTAGCCACCGTATCATCTGCTGAAGTTGCCGGCGGCACATGCGCACTTTGTTGTTTACAACCAAAACTTTCTTGAAGCTAAAGCTGAAATAATGGCCAAAGGAGGAGACGGCAGTGCTCAGGATATTTATTATCCCTCAAAGAAGACAAAGTGGGAAGTACGGGCATCTTTTGGATATTTGAAGAATGCCGAGGGACAGTTGACAGAAGACGGCTATCCTGTTTGCAACAGGTTCAGAAAAAGTGTCTGAGAAAGGCAGCAACGCTTCAAATCTCATGACACATCTGCGTGACCATCACCCACAACTCTACAGTCAACGCAAGGCAAGCTAATCTTAGCGTTTTAGCTAAAATGCGTGATCCGAGGATTTGGGTTGAGGGAGAATGCAACGAGTCGCTATGTAAAGCAGCCGCAGCGCCGCTACCTGCATATAAACCGTGTCGCGGACACCGCCATGTTGAAATGACGCTATGCATTACGGGGCTCCCAGGGGCAGATAAGAGTTGGTCTCTCTCCGAGAATAATTATGAATTTAATAATGATTACTGCCTGATGACATTTTCCCACATCTGCAAAGCTCACTGGAAGGACACAAACCGAGGACAATATTTTCCTGATATAGGGTTTATTACTCAAGTAAGGGTAAAAAAGTATCTGATTAGAAGGCTACTTGAGTACTGAGTATCATCTGGTCTAATATTTTTAAAATGATGACATCAAACAGACAAAAAATAAGAAGTTATGGGCAAATATTGGTATTTTACAGACTAAAGGGGAAAAATGTAAACAAATAAACAACATAATTACAAAATAACACATTTTAGGCTAAATTTAGACACAAACTGAGGACAATATTTTCCTGATATACAGGGTTTATTTAGAAAATGTAGCACGTTTTAAAAAATACAGCGATAATACCGAAAACCGTGATAATTTTGGTCACAATAACCGTGAGGTTAAATTTTCACACCATGACAACCCTACTTGTGACCTCTCTGTACAGATCGGAGCTATGATTACGTTTTGGAGCCGTCCCCGGTGGCCCTGCCTCTTGTCGAGCCCGTGCAGACACGGGTCATCCAGGTTGCCTGTGGCCGAGCTCATTCCCTGGTCCTCACGGATCAGGAGGGTGGTAAGAACCTGAAACACCTGGGAATGCACCATCTCAGTCCACCTGTCCTGTTTCTGTTTCCATCGTCCACCTGCTTCTAATTACACATATACGATTGTTTCATCTCATCCAAAAAGCCCATTAACGAGCGCTGGTTCATTAAGTAAATTAGCATTCTGATGCATTTTTACATCTGTGTAAGTGTAATTTCTGCCCACCAGAGGGTTTGGAAGCCAAACCGGAACCCGTTTTATTGTGATGCGTTCAAGTTTCTGCTGCGCGGCAGTTAATTAGAGTTCTAATTCAGACAGATAACCGTGAGTCAGGGCCGACCCGCTCTGTGTTCTGCTCAACACGGATTTTTAATTTGTTCTTTATTTTTGCCTACGTGGTTGTAGCTAAATGCATCTCCTGGCTGCACTTCATCAACTTCATTTCTTTCCAGCAACAAACAATAACTGAGTGATGCGAAATCAAACTAATTAAAATGTTTTAGTGTTCACTAAATCAACTTATCAGAAGTTGTTCATTTCATTTTTCACTCTTTTATTCCTGCTCAGGCTTAATTCTCAGCATATTTGTTTCTATAAGTCACCTTTACTTAGGTAATATAGTTAAAACTGTTAGTTTCAGCTAAGTGGATAAAACCATATGATTTATTACTCGGGTTCCTCTGACTGAAACTTCTATGTATTTTTCTGTTTTATTTTATTGGAAGCTGCTAAAAAACCAAAATGGACCTGAATTAATCCCTAATGAGTTTTTTTCCATCAGCTTCTGATGCGTCCTGTTTTATTATTCTCTCATTTATCTCGATAGTCTTCAGCATGGGCAACAACGCTTACGGCCAGTGTGGAAGGAGGATAGTAGATGATGAAGTCTACAGGTGTGTTGCTATAAGGATTTAGTGCTTAAAAATATCATCTTCAGCTTGTTCTTTAACACATAAACAAGGATTCTGCAGATTAAATGTACAAAAACGATCCACATAATTGTTTGAGCTAGTAAAATTAAAATGATTGTGTGAATTAAGTCGGATAACTTCACATTTACTGAATGGGTTTGAGCACAAAAGCTCATTTAGGAAGCTTTTCTCTGATCTAATTGACCTGATTGTGGGTTGTGCCCCAGATGAATTCAATTATCAAGCCTAAAACAGAAAATCAGCCACTTAAAGTTATTTTTCTTAATGTTGACATATTTGGAGGATAGATTTTAGTAATAAGACCTCCTGTTTAGCTCAGATATTTTTTGAGACATTCAGAGGAATTTTACTGATATTTTTTGAAAAGCTACAACTTAATAAAGAGGGAAATCACATTTGTGATAATTCTGCCCTGACTCGCCAAATTTTTTTAATCTAATATGAATGAAGCCACTGGTTTGTCAAGTGAATTAGTTTTCTTCTTCACATCCCATCAGTGGGAGCCACGTCATCCACAGGATGGAGGGATTCAGCAGCCGGGTCATCCAGGTGAGCTACAGACCATCTGACTGAGTCTGCTTCTGGTTCTGCGTCTGTTTCTTTCTCTGAATTCAAATTTCAGGCATTGAATACATTTGTTTAAAGTGTTTATTTTTTTTAGTTTTTTCTACCAAAGAAAACTGTTTAATTTCTGTTTCATAAGCAACACTTACCTTTCCTGCTTGTCTGTCCTACTGGTTGATAGCAGAATTAAAACTGTTGTTAATAACCCTGCAGAAGCCTGCTGTTATCATGCGCTAACGCTAACACAAGCCAACTGATGATAAATAAGCCACAAAGTAAAAAGATCCACACTGGTGGACAAAAAAATAACAAAGCCAGGTCACCATCAGTCCCTGATGTTGTAGCCTCCTTTAGCTCCCCCAAACTAGTGTAGGCCGCAGTGATGTTCACTCTGGTTTTAGCTTTTTACTTCACTTCCAAACATATTACTCTTGTACTTCCAGGCTCCACCGTGATGGCAGCAGAAAAACCAAAAATCTTCTTGGTGCTTTTTATTGACAATTAGCGACCAGAAAAAGCTAACTAACCTTTTAAATTAGCTCTTGTCAGAGTAAACGGCTTTGTCCGTAAAGTTTTTTTTTTTTCAATTCAAGTTTATTTATAAAGCGCCAAATCAGGACGAGTCGTCTCAAGGCACTTCACACAGTAAACATTCCAATACAGGTCAGGTCATTAAGCCAATCAGAAAAATGTTTCCTATATAAGGAACCCAGCAGGTTGCATCAAGTCACTGACTAGTGTCCGTGACTTTACAGCAATCCTCATACTAAGCAAGCATTTAGCGACAGTGGAAAGGAAAACTCCCTTTTAACAGGAAGAAACTAGTGTTCCTACCCGAACAACAAAACTGTTAAGTGCAGTATCTAGTCAGCAGAGGGCGACAGAGTGCTGTCCAGTGTTAGATTGGTCAAGTTTATCGCTGAAGAACCACTGAACCCAGTTTGAAAGCAAAAGCTTGAGATGTTAAAAACGTTTTGTTGTTGCTTTAAACCGATAAAGGGACCTCATGGGGAACGCCCCTAATGGATGTCCTCGTGTTTCTGTAGGAACAAGTATGAGTGTGTGAGGAGGTTGTGTATTTCTTCCCCAGGTGGCTTGTGGACAGGACCACAGCCTGTTTCTCACTGACACCGGGAAAGTGTTTGCATGCGGCTGGGGTGCAGATGGTCAAACGGGTCAGTATGTTTCACACCTGCTTTCACTTTATAATCCACGGAAAAGTCGGGTTTTGCTGCAAGACCAATTTAAGATGGCCTGAAGACAAAAATGTATTAGTAAAAACTAGTCGTATTGTTCATTGTTTGTTTTCATTTAGAATTAATTCATTTTTTTGAGTGAAGCTGCTATGAATGAACGAATGATTGTTAGTTTGACAGATCTCTGATATTTCAGGTTTGGGGCACCACAACGTCAGCTCCCAGCCGGGGGAAGTGGGGGGTGATCTGGCCGGTGTGGAGGTGCAGCAGATCAGCTCGTATGGCGACTGCAGCCTGGCTGTTTCCAGAGACGGAGAGCTGTTTGGCTGGGGGAACTCTGAATACAGGCAGCTGTCCTCCGTCACCGAGTCCACACAGGTGAGGAGTTCATATTAGATACAGGTCACGGCCTCTGACCGTCGCTCAGTGCAGACCACAGCTTAATTTAGTTGTAACCAAAACCCAAATCTTACTAGGATTAGATTATTGTTTATCTGTGGAAGTGGCTTAAAGGAGTGTCAGCGTGCACTTTTCTGCCCACCTTGCTGTTCCAGGTGCTCTCAGAATGAACGTGTTTCTAAATTAACCAGATTTGATTAGCTGCGTGTTTTTGTGTTCTGTGGCAAATGATTGTTGAGAGTTACCAAGCTGTTGTTTGTCATCAGATTAACTCACCCCGTCATCTTCCTCTGAACGGCTGTGGTAAGGTGGTCCAGGCAGCGTGTGGAGGCACGCAGGTCGCTGTCCTCAATGGTAAGTTTATATTAAAGTACTTTAAACTAAGGTCTGAGACTTCATGGTTGTCACACCTCACAAGGTGTCTTTAATCAGTGGCTGGAGGTTGTTCAGTTCATAAATGTCTGGGAGTTTTTATTCATATTCACTGTAAAAAAAAAAAAAGGTTTCATCTTTCTGGTCCAATTTTATAGTTTGAAGTAAAAAAAATTTATTGTTACACTGGAAATAACTTAATGTTAATTTTGCTGGCGAAACATTTTTCTCATTTCTGTTGAGACAAAAACACTTTTTTGCACAAAAATGAAAAAACAAAAAAAAAAAACACTTTAATTGGCTGAATTGAATCAACATTTTTGTCACAAATAAAAGACGAGAATGAAAATCCAACCAGAAGATGAGAAAGATGCGACACACGAACAAAAGAACCAATCAGCAAACCGAACCGGCAGGAATACAGGTCCTTCTCAAAAAATTGGCATACTGAGATAAAGTTCATTATTGTCTGTATTGCACTGATAAACTTTCATATATATTAGATATCTTGCGTCTCTCAACTTTCTCTTCACAATATCCCACAGATTCTCTATGGGGTTCAGGTCAGGAGAGTTGGCAGGCCAGTTGAGCACAGTAATACCATGGTCAGTAAACCATTTACCAGTGGTTTTGGCACTGTGAGCAGGCGCTAGGTCGTGCTGAAAAGTGAAATCTTCATCTCAGATTTCAGATTTATTGGCCAAGTAAAATTACATTTACAAGGAATTTGTCTTCGGTAGATGTTCGCTCTCTAAAACAGACAACAACCACAATAAATGAGAATAAAAATACCTAAAAAACACATAAGAACATGTATACCCATCTCCATAAAGCTTTTCAGCAGATGGAAGCATGAAGTGCTCCAACATCTCCTGATAGCTAGCTGCACTGACCCTGCCCTTAATAAAACACAGTGGACCAACACCAGCAGCTGGCATGGCACCCCAGACCATCACTGACTGTGGGTACTTGACACTGGACTTCAGGCATTTTGGCGTTTCCCTCTGCCCAGTCTTCCTCCAGAGTCTGGCACTGTGATTTCTGAATGACATGCAAAATTTGCTTTCATCCGAAAAAAGTACTTTGGACCACTGAGCAACAGTCCAGTGCTGCTGCTCTGTAGCCCAGGTCAGGCGCTCCTGCCGCTGTTTCTGGTTCAAAAGTGGCTTGACCTGGGGAATGCGGCACCTGTAGCCCATTTCCTGCACACGCCTGTACGCGGTGGCTCTGGATGTTTCTGCTCCAGACTCAGTCCACTGCTTCCGCAGGTCCCCCAAGGTCTGGAATCGGTCCTTCTCCACAATTTTCCCCAGGGTCCGGTCACCTCTTCTTGTTGTGCAGCGTCTTCTGCCACACAATTTCCTTCCCACAGACTTCCCACTGAGGTGCCTTGATACAGCACTCTGGGAACAGCCTATTCGTTCAGAAATTTCTTTCTGTGTCTTACCCTCTTGCTTGAGGGTGTCAATGATGGCCTTCTGGACAGCAGTCAGGTCGGCAGTCTTTCCCATGATTGCGGTTTTGAGTAATGAACCAGGCTGGGAGTTTTTAAAAGCCTCAGGAATCTTTTACAGGTGTTTAGTTCATTCAGAAGATTAGGTTAATAGCTCGTTTAGAGAACCTTTTTATGATATGCCGATTTTCTGAGATAGGAATTTTGGGTTTTCATGAGCTGTATGCCACAATCATCAATATTAGAAACAATAAAAGGCTTGAACTACTTCAGTTGTGTGTAATGAATCTAATATATGTGAAAGTCTAATTTGTATCAGTACATTACAGACAATAATTAACTTAATCACAATATGCTAATTTTTTTAGAAGGACCTGTAATAATGACCGTGGTCGTCTGTTGCTGCTCATTGCTCAGCTCAGGAGTGTGAGGTGGAGGTTTGCCCACTTCCTGCAACAGCTGAACAAGATTTCCCGTAATCGCACTGAGAGGGCTTGAAAGCAGAACTTACATTATTTTAAAATCAATTTTCTGATGGCACAAACTGCTGCTGAATTACGGTTGAAAGTAAAAATGTAAAATGCGTCGTGTTCCATGTTATAGTGGCGTGTTTATAAGAAAACAATATTCAGGTGGACCTGAAAAACGTCCAGGCAGCCTGCCTTAGTAAAATGATGCAAAGAACCTCTAAAAATACATTTGAAGTAAATTCATACCTTTCGTTCACCTCCTTGCATTATTAGAGAAAGGACTTTTAATGTTTAGATGGTATGATGTCATTTCCTGTCATGTCTACAAATGTTATTGTACATTTGTTAATATTGTGCAGAAACTTGGTTTGAAGAAAATTGTGAATCGCATCGAAATCGCCATTTTTTCTGCAAAAATCTCAAATCTTTTCCTAAGATTATTCAGCCATAAGCTGTGAGCTGGCAGCAAAACCAAGCAGGCCACTTGAGCTGTCAGTCAAGCCACCGGGAATTATCCTGGTGCTCCCGATGGCCAATCCGCCACTGGTGTGGAAAGTCCGACAGGCCAGGAACAACAAAATCGCAACCAAAAAAAAAAGATACTTTTTGCCTAAATGTTGCAACATTAACTTTTGCATAAGTGTTAGTTTTGTCTCAAACGTAAAAAATTAGCAAATATTTAGTTTTTACAGTAATTGTTTGGCATATTTAGTTGTTTACTGAATTCAAAGGTGTCTGTAAAGGTGCTTGTTTGTGTTTCTTAAATGTTACAGAAAAGGGGGAGGTGTATGTTTGGGGCTACGGCATTCTGGGAAAAGGTCCAAACCTGTCAGAAAGTTCAACCCCAGAGATGATTCCTCCCACTCTGTTTGGACGCTCGGAGTTTAACCCCTCGGTGGCCGTCAGTAAGATCAGGTGTGGCCTCAGTCATTTCGCTGCAGTTACAGGTAAGACCCCGATATGCTTCAGCAGAAAACATGAATGATGTTGATCTTCATTCATTATCTCCCATCGGTTCATTAGCCTCATTTATTGCTTTGCATATTTGATTTAGTTGCATTCTGCTGCTTTACCAGTAGAGGTCACCACATACACCTATCTGAACCCGGAACACAACTGCCTATAAGTGAAAATGTTCTGTTTTTTCCTCTTTATTTATTTGCTGTCAACTAAAATTTTTATTTTTCACAGTAACTTATTATTTTTAGCTGGTAAACATTTGATTTGATATTTTTAAAAGTAAATATTAAAAACGGTTTTTATAATTTTCTGGGATATTTCATATTTTTTCTCCTTGCGCTATATCTTATTCCGAAATTAGAAAAAAAAAATGTTATAAGAACAAATGTCACCAGTTGTCAGCTTTTTCAACATGACCTTTTTAATGTTGACAAATGATGCTAAATTGTTGCCCCATCCGTTTAAAACTGTTGAAAAGTTATTTTTCTGTTTTCCATCCAGATCTAGGAGAGCTCTTCGTCTGGGGGAAGAACCTGAGAGGCTGTCTGGGCATCGGAAAGAAAGATGACCAGTATTTCCCGTGGCGAGTAAGAAAACAACCCCCATGTTTTTTTTTTCATCTTCTCTCTGTGACTCAGAAGGATGGCTGATGTTTTTTTCCTATTTGTGTTGCCATATTAATCAGTCTCTGTATATGTTGATCTAAAATGCCTGGCAGTCAGTTTGATGTTTCACTACTGAAAAGATTGTCTTGATGAAAGTGTGTGCAGAGGTGATATAAGTCCCTCCACCTGGGTCTCCCTGCAGGGATTTCCAGTTTAACGCCACAGATGTACATTAGCATTTAAACAGGGCTTGTGGGTGTCGAGTCTCTGCATCATTCAGAATGAAAGAAGATTGAGAATAAATATCCTCTCTTCCCCTCTCATGCATGGATCTACTGTGAAAGCTTCTGTTTTGAAGCAGGTGTCAACAGAAGAAGAGTTACGCTCTCTAACCCTTTGGCCTCTGTGTTGCTGTAGGTGACCGTACCGGGGCAGGTGCTGGACGTAGCGTGTGGTGTTGACCACATGGTGGCGCTGGTGAAGTCCCTCCTGTGAGGTCGTGTTTACCCTCGGTGATGGAGGAAAGACTAGGTGTTTGGGTGAGCTTTCCTGCTGACCACCTGGAGCTCGGGGAGCCAGTCCGAGTCCGGTCCGGAGTCTCGAGTCCAGCTGCTGCCCGCAGGCACGCGGACCCTCGTGTCCTTCGAGTGACGTCAAGCAGAGTGCAGGGCAGTCGTTTCTGCAGGATTCACACGGCTCACTTTGTAATCTGAGAGCATGTTGCTGGACAAGCTGGTTTATTCAAACTGAAACCAAGAATTTGCATCCTTTAGGACTCGTTTTCTCGCTGCAGTTTCAGAAATTATTTTTTCTCTGTTTTGTGACATTTTTGGGGGGAAGGACCTTTCCCTTCAACTAGACTCAAAATCTGCCCTTTTCCCATCTTCACCTTTTTAAAGTCTAGTTTGGTCGTACAAATGATTTATTTTATAACATATATTCCTCATGATGACTCAAACAGTAAAAAAATATGCAACTGACTATAAAATCTGTGATCTTTCAAATCTGACTTGGTTACGTTAACAAAAGTAAACATTTTAACACTTCTCCACCTGTTTTGTCTCATTCTGGATATTCAGGAGTTATTTTATTTGTTTTTCTCAGGAACATTATTCACTTTTATGGTGGGGGCGGGGCCTAATTCTTGAGCTGCAGCCATCCACCGGGGGAAATCCCAGTTGTTTTGGTTTAAGCGCTAGAGGTTGTGATCTTCATATTTCAGGAAAAAATTTAATCTTTCCTTTTAATGACTTGAATTCAGACTTGATTGCAATGCAGGATTTTTTTTTTATCCCGTTAAGTTTTCACTTCTATCGGAGGACTGGTTCAGCTCAGCCTGGTGAGTGATGCATTTCTGTCTGCAGCTAGAAGCTCCTCTTCAGCTCCGGCGTTTCCTTTGTTAACTGTAGTTGAACGGGAAGAGGAGGCCAGTGAGCTGAAGAGGGTTATGTAAGGCGTAAGCTGATCCAGATGAAGGAAAACACTAATGTCTGTTCCTCTGCCTCTGATCTCCAGAGAGGCTTTCTGCAACTGGAGAAGCCCTCCGGCTGCTGTCCGTGTGGCTGTTCTTTGTTTTGTTTGCTCAGTCAGACGATACCTGCTGCAGGACACGGGAACGTTACTGGAGCCAGAAAATGGAACAACAGGTCGGTGCTTTGTTCCCGCATTTATAAAGATCCGCTAATACAAAACGCATCCCCCACAATATGGAAGACGTTATTTTCAGGATTTTTAGTCAGAGTTACAAAAAATGTTCCGAAAGCCGTTGAAATAAGTAAATGACGAACAAGACCCTCAAATTTTCACCCGACAGCAAAAATTCTCCCCAAAAAGCTCAGATTAATAAAAGAAGCTTGAGAAGGCCTTAAATATTTGCAGGTGCTTAAATTTTTATTAAAATAATTGAAATCAGTGTATATTTTTGGACAAGGGAGTCAAATTTGAGCATGCACCGTTTAGGTTTCAGTCAGCAGCAACACCTGAAAACTCACATTGAAAGTGCTTAAATGTTGTTTTGGGACAAGAGGTAAAAACCCTGCAGCATTTTTCTGGTCATTAGCTACAGGCTGTTTTAGAAAACATGGACTCAGACACCTGGTTTTAAGATTTGTTGACATAGTCGAGCTGGTTTTTAAATTTTTTTTTGCTGATTTTAGTAAAATTTTGGCATCATGAGCTAGATTATGTCGATGAGTTTTTGTCTCGTCTCGTCTTCTTCCGCCTACCCGGGTCGCGGGGGCAGCATCCCAACTAGTTCCATACCGTCCTCTCCCCGGCCACCTCCACCGGCTTCTCTGGCAGGATCCCAAGGCGTTCCTGGGCCAGTTTGGAGATGTTCTTTCTCCAACGAGTCCTGGGTCGACCAGGGGGCCTCCTGCCGGCAGGACAAGCCTGAAACACCTCCCTGGGGAGGTGACCAAGAGGCATCCTAACAAGATGCCCAAACCACCTCAACTGACTCTTCTCGATATGGAGGAGCAGCAGCTCTGCTCCGAGTCTCTCCCGAATGACCTTATCCCCAAGGCTGAGCCTGGCCACCCCACGGAGAAAACTCATTTTGGCCGCTTGTATCTGTGATCTTGTTCTTTCGGTCATTACCCAAAGCTCGTGACCATAGGTGAGGACTGGGCGGTCAGTCGACTGGTAAATCGAGAGCCTTGCTTTCTGGCTCAGCGTCTGCATCACTGCCTCAATCCGCCTGTTGAGCTCCCGCTCCCTCCTGCCCTCACTCGTGAACAAGACCCCGAGATACTCAGACTGGTCTCAGACTTGGAGGTGCTGATCCCCATCCCAGCCACTTCACACTCTGCTGCAAACCTCCCCAGCAAGAGCTGTAGGTCAGAGCCTGATGAAGCTAGGACCACGTCATCCGGACAAAGCAGAGACGAGATTCTCCTGCCACCAAACTCCACACACTCCACACCACGGCTGCGCCTAGAAATTCTGTCCATAAAGGTAATGAACAGAACCGGTGACAAAGGGCAGCCCTGGCGGAGTCCAACCCTCACCGGGAACAGGTCTGACTTACTACCGGCTATGCGGACCAAACTCACGCTCCTCTGGTACGGGGACTGAATGGTCCTTAGCAAATGACCATCCACCCCATACTCCTGGAGCGCCCTCCACAGGGTGCTCCTGGGGACACGGTCATAAGCCTTCTCCAAATCCACAAAACACATGTGGATTGGTTGGGCAGACTCCCATGCCCCCTCCATCACCCTTGCAAGGGTATAGAGCTGGTCCACAGTTCCACGGCCAGGACGAAAACCACATTACTCCTCCTCAATCTGAGGTTCAACTATCGACCGGGCCCTCCTCTCCAGTACGTTAAGAGTAGACCTTTCCAGGGAGGCTGAGGAGTGTGATCCCCCTATAGTTGTGGTTTATTTAAAGTTAGATTTAATTTGTATCTGAATCCTATGTTCAAACCCAAATCTGGACTTTATTCTACAAAAAGGACATAAAAGCAACAATCTAATCTATTTCTGTCATTTTTACATTATTGTACTTTAAAATGTAGTATTGTAATAAAATGGGTTTTAATTTCAGAGCAGCTTTAGTTGTTTTTATTTTTTTTTACCAGAACAAAACAAATCATCGTCCTGTGCAATGTGACCGCTGCCGTTGGGAGCTTTTTTTTGCGGCAGCATGAGGTCTCCTGTTAGCGTTCTTATCAGACCAAAACCTCAGAGATCTTCTCCGTGTTCCTTCCAGCTCCCAGAAAAACCAAATAACCTCCAAACACTTAATGATCCATCTTTTCTCTTCACAGCCAACTGGAGGCTCTTAAAGCCAGATTTAGAGACGAGTAAAAAAAACCTGCAACACTAACAACGGGGTCAAAAAACAGCTCGTTTATTTCGTTTTCACACAAGAAGCTCCAAATGAAAAGCTCTCAACATGTTTCACTGAAATGGAATCAGAAAGTCACCTTCCTGGTGTTTTAACACTGATAAATACATGATTTCTACTGATCAGGGCTGCAGTTTAGTGGGAAAAAGAAAGAAAAACATCATCAGTGTGGAATAAGACCAACAGCTTTCTGTCTGGGTTCCATGAGTGTAAAGAGTCCTCTCTGTTTCACATCAGTACAGCAGGTCTGCGTGGGGAGTGGAACCTGCATTAAAGTGCAGACTGGAGCCGGAGAGGGGGCAGCTTCAAGACCTAGAAGGACACCGGGTAATCGGAGGGAGACGTTCCTTTCCCCGTGTCAACCGTAGCTTATGTTTAGCACATTGTAGAAAGTGGCTCAGTAATTTACAACTGTAGATGCAAACATGTTCATTGTTTCTTGCCGCGCCTTCACACTGTGAGCAACGTGACGGTCAGGAGTCGATGTTCAGCTGGAAAAACGACTCAGTAGTATAGTGAGGGGGGGAGCGACTTCAAACTAAACATCTCTGACGTCAAAGCAAAATCCAAAATTACTTTTATAAAGTTAATTAAAACAATTCAGTTATTTATTATCCTACTGTTGCTGAACAGCCTCTGTTCTTAGAAATGGTTAACTTCCCTCAGGTGTGATGGGCTAACGGCTAGTTCAAACACAGTTAAGACCAGAGTGTGTTCCTGTCTCAGAACTAATTATACCCATATCTTATCACCATTAGCAACATGTAGCACTGACTGGAATATCAGAAATAATCATCTAAATGTTACATAAAGCTGTGATGTTTGAGATTAAAACCATTTTAAGATGGCAGCAATCAGAGTTGGAGTAGGGTTTGCTAACTTCTTGAAACCGCTCAGGTCTCCTGACTTTCATACGATTATTTATGCAAAGAGGATTCCAGTCGTACCCGACCTTCAGATGCACAGCAAAGTGCTGTACAAACAGCTCTGATATTTACGTAAAGAAACACAAGAAGATGAATAAAATAACGCTTTAAAATGGCAGAGTCATACTATAGTCGGTGGCCTAGCCGTTAGCCCATCAGTCCTGTAGGACGGGGACATTTCACTCAACAGAAGCCACCTACAGAGGGTCTCCACTAACCTTTAACATTATTCCTGCGGTGTAAAATACAGACTGATTAGTTTAACTAAATATTTGATCTAAAACCTCGAAAAGCTGAATTTAGATTTTTCTACAGCACTTAGGTTTGTGCGTTAAGCAATTTGATTGAATGCACAGAAACCTGATTGGAGTGTTCAGTCCAAACTACAGCTAAATAAATCAAGTTCCTTTTTAAAAGCAGCACAGCGTAATCCACCGGATCAAACACCTGAGGTGTAAAGTCGGTTATCAATGCCGAAGGAAGCCGACAGCCGGGCTGCTCACAGCGTGAACGACGCTCTAGAACATTTCAACCTGTCTGTAAAGTCGTCTCCTTCAATTGCACACACGTATAATAATCTGACAAAGGCATCAGGTTAGGCATTCGAACATCTTGGCACTGCGAGAATGACCTGTGGGGCGAGAGAGCTCGATAAATATATACCTTTACATTTTGAGTACATTCGTCACACTTCCTGGAGGGGAATTACGTAACGCCTACAGTAGATGTTGTTGGGGGTGGGAAGAAGCAGCTTTAGAGGTAAAGGAACATTTTGGGTTTAGTAAACTTGAGGCAGCAGGAAAGAAATGGTTGGTGGTGAGTAACAAAAGGCATCCCTGCAACACTTTAAACTCTCCCCTCCTTCCTTTCAGAGCTGATCCACAGCAACCACCTCTTGGCACTTTTTGAACAAAATGACCGAAGACGAGACGGTTCCCCTCACTGTGCTGCGCTCTCGGTCCGCAGAGCTTTGATAACACTTTGGATGTTTTCTTCAGGAACCTGGAGAAGAAACAAGCAGCAGCATTCACTAAACACTTCTTTAGAGCTTTATTTCTAGCAGACAGAAACACCCCCGGTTTCACGTCTGATAGATAAGTCTGGCTTTTAAGTGCTTGGAACGTTAGAACAGGTGTGCCTCCCCAAAGGGGGGTGAGGTCCTGCCTCAAGTGGGGGAGTTTAAGTATCTCGGGGTCTGAGAGAAAGCTGGAGCGTGAGATTGGTGCTGCGGGTGTTCTACCGATCTGTCGTGGTGAAGCTCCCTACTTGCCAGTCAATCTACATTCCTACCCTCACCTATGGTCATGACCGAATGACCAGCAGCCGAAATGAGTTTTCTCTGCAGGGTGTCCTCTCCTCCCTTAGAGATAGGGTGGGAAGCTCGGGCACATCCCACTAGGAGAAGACCTAAAGCAGTGGTGGGGAACCCTGGTCCATCAAGGGCCACTATGCAGCATATTTTACTTTCAACCCTGCTTCAACACACCTGATTTAAATCAGCAGGTGATTAACAGGCTTCTGCAGAGCCTGATGAGCTGCTGAACAGGTGAATCAGAACCGTGGGAGCAAGGACATGCAGGATACTGGCCCTCGAGGACCACGGTTCCCCACGCCTGACCCAGGGAACGCCTTGGGAGTCCCTCGGAGGAGCTGGGGGCTCTCTTAGGCTGTTGCCCCGACAACCTGACTCCGCATAAGTGGAAGAAAATGGATGGATGGTCTTTGCAGCAATAATAGTTTATACCACTGACCCATGCTTTGATGCTTCCCGACTTTCCAGCCAGAGAACCGGTGGTGTTAGCTGTGGTGAATGGAGTATTCTGGATTTTATGCAAAAGGTTAGAACCCAACTAGGACCTTGTCTGAAAACATGAAACACATTCATCTAAAAATTGCTGTATTTTAGGGATGATGACATTAATGTTGGTTCCTCCGTGGCCTAGTGTCCTGCCTGAGCTGTGAGATCGGGGTCCTAACCTCATTCAGGCCATACCAAAGACTTTAAAAATGGGACCCATTGTCCCTACTTGACACTAAGGCTTTAAGGGGTTGGGTTGGGGTTTAAACCACCAAATAGTTCCCTAGCACAGCCACAGCTCACTGTTCCCCACGGGGATGGGTCAAATGCAGAGATGTAATTTGTCCAAGTGACTATGGGACTTCAAAATTTTAATTTGACACTTTCTGTCACTTTTCTCCAAACAACCGACAGCTGTGAGGCGTTCTCTTACCAGGGCGTGGTCAAACTTGAAGGTGCTAATGTAGTAAGCTGGAATGTCTGCGGTTGCCAGAGGTTCTGATATTTGAGCCACGATGCCACACTCATCTAGAAAACAAGACATTAAAATGACCTTTCATTAACTTTAAAGCCCTTTTTTAAGTTCATTTGGACTTTAAAAAACAAGCATTTATTGCAAAGACTTAAACTTACTGAACTGGATTCTACAAATAAACCTGAATGAAATCAAAGCGTTTAAATCATAACTTCACTATGAAGTAATGCGAGGTTTACAAACTCATCAACAAGTTGCTATGAAGAAGAAGAAGAAAATATCATTTCTATAGCGCCTCAAGATAAAAATCACGAGGCGCTTCACAAAAAAACAAAAAATGTAAAACTATAAAAAAGCATTTAGAAAATGTTTAATATATTTAAAATGAGCAAAAATAGGCAATTGGGATTTAAAAGAAAAAATGTTAAGAAAGAGAGAGTAACTAGGAAAGAGGGAAATCAGTGGATCCTGAGGAAGGTGGAATAGGTGGGGAGAGCAGAATAGAGAGAGAGTGGTGAAGAAGGTCATACAAAAGCCAGCTTGAACAAGTGAGTCTTCAGCTGCTTTTTAAAGGAGACCACTGAGTCCACTGATCTCAGGCTCAGGAGGAGAGAGGTCCAGAGTCTGGGGGCCACAGCAGCAAATGATCTGTCACCTTTGACCTTTAGCCTGGTGCTGCACAACCAGTAGGCTTTGGTCACTGGAACTCAGGGACCTGCTGGGGGTGTAGGGACTAAGAAGATCGCCAATGTAAGATGGTGCTTGTCCATGTAAGGCCCTATAGACCAGAACCAGGGATCTTCAAATGAACCCTGAAGTTGACTGGCAGCCAATGAAGCTGGAGGAGAAGCGGGGTGATGTGGGTGTGTTTGGAGGACTTGGTCAGAAGCCGAGCACAGGCGTTCTGAACCACCTGTAGACGGTTCAGGGAGGTTCTACTCAGACACGTGAAAAGAGAGTTACTGTGGCAACCAACGAGATGAAGCCTCATTTCGGCATGACACAAACCGCATCGTTACTGCATCATTCACTATGTTGGTCTACTGACATCAACTCCTGCTAGGCCGTTCCGCCAATGCGAGCTGGTCCGCATCAGTGTTGCTGCTGGACCCATCACTTAGACCAAAGCTTAAAAATACTCACCAAATCCTAGAGGTTGTCCCCCGATGCGGACCATTTTCCAGAGTTCCCCCGAGGCGCTGGTGAAGAGGACATTGTTTGGAAACCTTCAAACAAAGAATCAGTATCTTAGTTTTTGGTTGAAATTTTGTGTTGCATCAACCATAAACAAAACGTTGTTTTCAGTCTTGGCTCTTATAGAATAAGTGATATAGTAACAAGGCCCCAGAGTGCTGATCTCAGCCTGACTTGGTCCACATTCAACCCACATCCTAAAACATGTTGGTCCTAAATTTTGTTTCAGCTCCACCGCGGTCTAAAGACAGGTACGGGTTTGGCTCTCTGCTTGATGAAGGAGGATATGGATAGTAAACCAGGAGCTCGAAGGAAAGCCGATGAGTCAAACTCGAGTGCTGTGTGATCGCCTAGCAACAAGCTAATCACCCCCTCAAACACCAATCACGAATTTATCCCCCAGTATGAACCCAGTGACCCTTCAGCAGAGACTAAAACAAGCTGAGCTCGGCTCGGCTCACCTCTGAGCCGTCTGCTCGTCCATCACCAGAGAGATGTAACCCTCGATCAGGGAGAAGGAGAAGAAGCGGATGTGGCTCGAGTCCTCGCTGGACGTTCCAAGCTCTTTGGACCTGGAAAAGAAACCAAAACTCCGGCATGAAAAGGTGGCTGGATCAGATCCAGCGCTGCATTATAGTAAGGTGATTTACCCTCCAGAGTAAAACATGACATCCATGAGCAGCGTGGCCACCGAGGGCAGCGTGTCTGGATCCAAACTGGTCACACAGAACATGTTACTGGGACTGGATAAAGGGTGGATGATGGGACGGGGAACTGAAAAAAAAACAAACACCGGAATGACCTCAAAATGATCAGATAACGGAGCCGTTTCCTTCACCATCTCATACTGGTGTACAGAAATTCTTCAACTCAGTTAAATAAAAATATATTTCTACAGGAAAACTTAGAAGAATAAAACAAATAAATGTAAACTTATTTTAGACTTGGACAGATTATAAAACCCAGAAATTATTAAAATTACAGTTTAAATCTAGAGAAACACGCTCAAAAGAGCACGAACACCCACCAAGTTTTGGCTTTACGAATCCGTTGGTGACTCCCAGATCGTGAGCAGCAACCGTCTCTCCGTTTACGACTCGAAGCAAAGTGAATTCGGAAGACAGAGTGTGCATGACCATAGGCAGGTCTCGCTCTCGAACCTGAGAAGCACCACAGAAAAATCGTTAGTTACGTTTTTCTACATTAGAGATCACTGCAGTGGCTGACTTAATCCAGAAACGTGACGGTGTGCCTAAAATTGCAATGGGTAACGTAACGAAGTTTCAGCATCACGGTTGCTAAATGATAAATGACCCGCGCTTGTAGAGCACCTCTCAGAGTAAGGACTCCAAAGCACTTTACACTACAGTGTATCATTCATCCATTCACACACACATTCACACACTGATGGTGATGAGCTACGATGTAGCCACAGCTGACCTGGGGCTGCCGAGCACAGGCGCCATCGGTCCCTCAGACCACCAGCAGCAGGCAAGGTGGATTAAGTGTCTTGCCCAAGCAGAATTCTCTGTCTGGAGCCGGGATCGAACCTGCAACCTTCCGATTACTGGACAACCCCGCTCTCAACCTGTTGAGCTACGATGGGACACATGCTGAGATAAGGGCGGCCAATTTCACAGCCGTTCTGGAGTTGTACCGAAACCGGGTTGATCAGGTTAGGGTTATAAGGCTGAATTTGGACAAAGCTGCAGGAGTTTCTGGCTGAAATGCAGCGCAGTGCCAAAAACTCAGAATACGTGAATACAGATATTGTTACACCCCTAATCTGATGCTCTGCCTGTTTTAAACTTTGAAATGAGGTCAATTCGATCGGATTTCATGCCAAATGCATAGCCTTTTATTCTAGTTTGTTATTCCTGTTGTGACACCATCATTTCCCCACCGAGGGATTTCCTTTTCTACTCGGAGTGATCCAATGGAGCTGGTTTTTCTGTTCAGGTCGGATATTTCTGTTTCTCACCAACAATCAGGAATGAGACAGGAAACAGGCCCAAGAATGTTACCTTGAATTCAAATAGCCTGAGCTGCTGATCCCCATTACGTAACAGATTATCAACATGGACACAGCTTTTATTTTTTCCATTTAGAGGATTAAAAAAGAGCCAGTCATCAGATCTTGTTTTTCCACAAAAGCAATAAAAAAAGAGACTCCCTGTGGCCAAAGAGGATTTCCTCTGGAATCAAAATCAACGGAGCCATGCAAGGTACACTATATCCAGTGTTATTGCCTTTCTGTGGTGGATGTAAACAACCGCGCTGCCAGCAGTTGCATAAGAAGAATAATGCACATGCACTGCCATGCTGTGAAGCTCATCAGCTGTGAGCTCTAAGAGAAGAGAAGGATGTCTGTGAAGTGAGAGAAACGCAGTTTTGATCAAATTAAATGAAGTTGGTATAAGACCAACAACAGATTTTACATATACCACATTTAAACCTCAAGAAGAAATCCGTATGGATAAAATTACAACTTCTCTTGTTTTAAGTCTTCATCTGAAGGTCTGATTATGTCGAGAACCCTGGAAGTAACCCTCACTCCTCAGATTAGGGCCAACCTGGGTCCGTTCACCTCATCATCCCAACTCACCAGGATGAAGTCCGTCTGGTACGTCGACAGCATGAAAACAGAGATGTTGTGGTCGGCCAGCGGAGCGATGACGGATTTAGCAATTTTTGTGACTCCTATGGGCTGCGAACTGGAAGCGTTGCCGCCGCCTGACACCACGTTGAGAGCCAACCACGTGGCATCTGCAACGCTGATGAGATCCGACTGGGGCAGCTCTGTGAGAGGAAACAGAAACCTCTAGAACATCAGACATCATCTTTCACAGGAATCTGGATTAGCAGATTCAAGAACTGGCAGCAGCTTTGTCCTGTTTCAGCAGCAGATGAAGATAAAACTAAAAGCCTTTAGTTTTTTTCCCTTCATTGATTCTGAGTTGGTACCTAGATATAAAAAAGTAGGTAAGTTTCAGTTCACAGAAACAACTTTTAATCTTTCAGAACCACATAAATCCATTTAAGAAGTGTGTGTGTGAATGCTACTCAGCTAACAAATGAAAGTTTATCTACAAATGTTTGATTAGCTGTGGCAGCCATCTTGAATTGGGTTGACTCAGAAAATTAATCCAGGGGTGTTTCTCAATGTCAAGGAAAAAGCGCCACGGAAGACGATACGCTTCTCGTTGAGTGAGCCTTCAGCTTTTCCGGTAGATCCAACCCTGAAGAGACATACAGTTGTGGTCAGAAGTTTACATACACTTGTAAAAAATATAATATAATGGCTCTACTGAGTGTCCCGTTATTTCTAAAACTCTGATTTTTCTCTGATAGAGTGACTGGAAGAGATACTTCTTTGTCACAAAAAACATTCTTGAAGTTTGGTTCTTTAATGTCTTTATTATGGGTTAACAGAGAAAAGTGATCACATTTGCTGGGTCACAAATATACATACAGCAACATGAACTAGCAATTTTGGTGACATAGAAACGTGTCAGTGAACTGAGCTTCATAGCATGGCCTCTTAACTTCTTGTGAGTGATTATGAGAGACTACAGCTGGTGACTTCTCTTAGGTCAGGTAAATAGGGCTCATCGGATACAAACGCCCACAAACGCTACAATGGGAAAGTCAAAGGAGCTCAGCATTGATCTGAAAAAGCAAATTATTGGCTTGAACAAGTCAGGAAAGTCACTTGGGGCCATTTCAAAGCAGTTGCAGGTCCCAAGAGCAACAGTGCAAACAATTGTTTGTAAGTATAAGGTGCATGGCACTGTTTCATCACTGCCAAGATCAGGAAGAAAACGCAAGCTATCACCTGCTGCTGAGAGAAAATTGGTCAGGAGGGTAAAGAGTGAACCAAGAATCACCAAAAAGCAGATCTGCCAAGAATTAGAAGCTGCTGGAACACAGGTGTCATTGTCCACAGTCAAACGTGTTTTGCATCTCCATGGACTGAGAGGCTGCCGTGCAAGAAGGAAGCCCTTGCTCCAAAAGCGGCACCTTAAGGCTCGACTGAAGTTTGCTGCTGATCACATGGACAAAGATAAGACCTTCTGGAGGAAAGTTCTGTGGTCAGACGAAACAAAAATCGAGCTTTTGGGCCACAATGCCCAGCAATATGTTTGGAGGAGAAAAGGTGAGGCCTTTAACCCCAAGAACACCATGCCTACAGTCAAGCATGGTGGTGGGAATATTGTGCTGTGGGGCTGTTTTGCTGCCAATGTAACTGCTGCTTTACAGAGAGTAAATGGGATAATGAAGGAGGAGGATTACCTTCACATTCTTCAACATAACCTAAAATCATCAGCCCGAAGGTTGGGTCTTGGGCGCAGTTGGGTGTTCCAACAGGACAATGACCCCAAACACACATCAAAGTGGTAAAGGAACGGCTAAATCAGGCTAGAATAAGGGTTTTAGAATGGCCTTCCCAAAGTCCTGACTTAAACCCCATTGAAAACATGTGGACAGTGCTGAAGAAACAAGTCTGTGTCAGAAAGCCATCAAATTTAACTGAACTTCACCAATTCTGTCAAGAGGAGTGGTCAAAGATTCAACCAGAAGCTTGTGGATGGCTACCAAAAGCGCCTGATTGAAGTGAGAATGGCTAAGGGACATGTAACCAAATATTAGCACTGCTGTATGTATATTTGTGACCCAGCAAATGTGATCACTTTTCTCTGTTAACCCATAATAAAGACATTAAAGAACCAAACTTCATGAATGTTTTTTGTGACAAAGAAGTATCTGTTCCAATCACTCTACCAGAGAAAAATCAGAGTTTTAGAAATAACGGGACACTCAGTAGAGCCATTATATTATATTTTTTACAAGTGTATGTAAACCTCTGACCACAACTGTATGTGAGCGAGATGGCATCACATAACCAATGAGAAAGACGCTGTGAAGATGGGCTGGCCAAGGGAGCTCTCCCTGTAGTGCACAAACAACTGATCTGTGCGGCGAAGGGCAGCGGCGCAGGAAACAACATCTGAGAGCCCGTATCGGGCAAAACAAATGAGATGCCGCTTCTTTCTCCAAGCTGATAGGAGGGGGAAAGAATCCCTCCAATGTGATGGATCTGGACTTAAAGGAGCTGTTAAGGCTCTTAGGAGTAACGCTGGGTTGGGACACAACACAGCCGAACCCCCGTCATCCCGGATCCTGAGGCAGGATGGGGCCACAGAAAAGGCAGCCAGGTGGCTCACCCTCTTAAAAGATGTAAGAGTCAACAAGAGGGCTGTTTTAAGAGACAAAAATCTCAAGAGTAGCCTGATCCAGTGGTTCAGACGGGGCCAATGCACAATAACTCCCTGGCCAGGCTCAGGAGTGAGGCTGATCGAGTCCCGCCCTGGCGATTTATGTAGGCTGCGGCGACTTAGGTGTCCGTGTGGACCAGGACATGCTGGTCCCGGAGGAGGGGGGCAAAATGTAGGGTAACATTAAGCACCGACATGAGCTCCAGAACGTTATGTGGACATTCGTGTGGGGGCCACCGATCGCCCACAGAATGGGATAAGCACGTGCCCCCCCCCCTCCCCGACAGGGATGCATCCATGAACACAGGCACGTGTGACGTCACTTGCCCGAGAGGAATCCTCTGCTGCAGGGTGTCGGGGTTTGACCAATGCTGTAGGTCTCCCTTCACCGAAGTGGGGACGAGTATCATGCGCCTTTTGTGGCATATGGGGTCCACCTTGAGGTGACTGAACCAGCGTTGAATGCGCCTCATGTGTGATTAACCGAGCGGCACCACAACGTGGGCCGCCGCCATCATGCCCAGAAGTCTCATTACCGACAGCGCTGTGACTGTGCGCTGTGGATGCACACGGTTCTCTCCCGGGAAAGACGGGCTGTCATGGAGCAGGAGTCCAGGGCCACGCCCAGGAACACGATGGACTGGGTCTGGATCACGGAGCTCTTCTCCCAGTTTATGGAGAAGCCCAGAGTGATCAGATGCAGTGCCAGCGTCCTTGTTTGTGACTCCGCTTCCGTCTGGGAACGGGCCAGGAGGAGCAGGTCGTCTAAATAGAACAGGATCCTCAAGCCCGCCATGCGTAACAGCTGCAGCACCGTCGCCAGGCACTTTGAGAAGGTGCGTGGGGCTAGGGAGTATCTGAACAGGAGTCTGTTGTACTGATACGGAGTCCCGCTAACTGAGAAGCGCAGGATTTCCGGTGTTTCGGAACAATCGGAACGTGGAAGTATGTGTCCCTCCGGTCTATGGACGTAAACCAATCGCCTGGGCGCACGTACTCCAACACCTGTTTGATCGTGAGCATGCGGAAATGCTTCACTGCTATGAAGGTGTTGAACAGACAGATCGAGGATCGGTCTGGAGCCACCATTTTTCTTCAGATCCAGGATATAACGGGAGTAGAAACCTATGTTCTCCTCCCCTGGTGGAACCTTGGAGATGGCCTCCTTCGACAGGAGTTCCCTCAACTCCGCCTCGAGGGTGGCAGCGTGAGGGGCCGACATCAGTGTCGTCTCCACAATCCGTGAGAACAGGGGTGGGAGGGACTGAAACTGCAGCCTGTAGCTGCTGCGAATGATGTCCCAAATCCACTTGGTCATGTGGCACACGCGGCTCCAGTCGTGGGCGCGCTCTGACAGTAGGCGCGTGCATGGCGCCTGGGCCTGCAACGTGTCCAAAATCCAGGTCCGGGCCCCTACCGCCGTCCATGGGGGGCTGGCTGGGAAAGGGCCGGTCGCGGAGTTGTGTCTCAGTAGACGTCTGTGCGGTGCCGGCGAGCGCGTAGAGTGCTGCTGCGCATCAGGCGCATGCGGAGGAACCCCAGTGCACGAGCGTGGGAAAAGCTCCGAAGCGCGCACAGACAGGCGGTGATCATAGATGACAGCCCGTTTTGGTGGTTGTAATGAATGCAGCAAATCGTCATTGTGCAGATTTGCAGCAGTCACAGTGGGGAGAAGGCGCCGTTTGGAGGCAGAGCGCCACTTAACGACATAGTCCTTACCGCTGGTTGGCCGCCGCTCTCGCACCGAGAAGGCGGTGCGGAGGAGATTGGTAGCGACTCTACCCTAGCCCGTGACAGGTGTGTAAGGGGAGAGGTTGTGCTTGGTGTGGGAAACGTGTAAGAGAACAGTAGATGGTAAGTTCGAACCGTCTGTACAAGGTTGTGACAGGATGTTGCTCTTTAAGTAATTTAAATGTTTTATTTCAAAACACAAATCATCACAATCAAAGACACACATTTCCCCCAAGAAGTCTTTTCCTTGGATTCTTATTGCGGACGTCCTGAGACTGCCAAGTCCAGGTCGGGGCAAGCGGTCTGGTTGGTCTGGAGCGCTGCGCCGTTGGCTGGAGAATCGGAGGTTCCGGGTCCACCGCCGGTGGCTGACCCTGCGTTGGTCTGGAGCTGGATCACGAAGCGTGGCTACTCTTTGCACCCCGGTGATCTTCCCAGGTTCTGGTTGAGGCATGGTGCTGGTGACCGGGCCGGGGTCGGACCAGGCTGCGCACAGTGGCTGAGAGGTCAGCCGACCTCTGAGCCCTCTCGACGGCGTCTCTGAAGTTGGACCCAAACAGCATGTCCGAGCTGATTGGGCCCTCCAGCATCTCCTTGTGGAGCTGCTCCGGGATGGACGGAAGAGCTCCAAGCCACAGGAGCCGGTGGATGAGGGTCTGCCAGGCAGAGATGCGAGCTGCACAGACCAGGTTGGCAGCACACAAGTTCAAAATGGCATCAGCCGACTTGCAGATGCAGGTCACACGTCGCCGCCTTGGAGATGCCATAGGCGAGTAGCATCACGTTGTTCGAGGCTGCGCCGATCTGCACAGTGCACTGGTGGGAACGGTCAGCAAACCGTGCCAGCTGCTGGTCGTTCCTGGAAGCGGGAACCGCTTGCCTGTCCATCATTTTAACCTTGGGTCCGAGCAGGGAAGCCAAGTCAGCCTCCAAGGGCGGAACCACTGAGAAGCCATGCTAGGTGAGGTTCTCCACCTTAGTGATAGACGTGTAGGAGGACACAGGAGCCCTGAGCCGGGTGGGCTCTGCTCTAGAGCCGTTCCAGTACTCCATGGCTGCCGGGAACTGCGGGAACACTGGGTCAGGGCAGAGAGTCGGTTTCGCGCCAAACCTGCCCGCCAAGTCGTCCGACATAGCAGGAGCGGGAACCGTTAGTCCTTTGAAGCTCGCCGCTGCCGACATGATGGCGGGCAGTTCCTGGAGCAACGCTCGGATGGGAGGGAGCAGTGTGTGGCTGTCCTGGAGGTGTGAGTTCGGGTCCCTTTCGGGAGCCTGAAGGTCCGCAGCCTCCGAGGACAAGTGTGAGCACCCCACGCAGCTAATCTGCTCCGTGTCAGAGCAGCTAGCTAGTGCGGTGTCAAAAAAGTCCATGGCCTCCTCCAGTGGGACGGTGTTGGGCGCCGCGAACCCGCCCTCGGAGATGGCGATGAAATAATCCACGCGCCGGAGTTTCTCGGCCGCCGGCAGGAGCTGGCAAAAGTGGCAGGCTGTAGAGCCCTGCACGGGCCTAAAATCTGAGCCCGTGTCCGGCCCGGCCCGAGGGGGTGGAGCCCCAGCCCGACCCGGCCCGAAAAGGTTTTCAGGATTCTCTGGCCCGGCCCGAGCCCGACTTTTTTTAACCAACTAAATGAAAACAAAGTGCGTCAATCCTGACCAATGTGTTAAAAGACGTGCAGGATCCGATCAATTTGTTTTTCCCTCATTTACCGTCACGGAGATAACGGCGCACTGACTCTGGTGGTAATCAAGTTAAATTTAATCTCTTTCCAACAATTTTCACAAGAAAACAGAACAGTTAAAAGCAGGGCTTGTGTTGTGTTGACCGGATAGTTCCCGTATTTGACGGTTTATTTTGACGGAGAAAGAATAGAAAGAATTACCCCGACGCATGCAGACGAACTGACATTTTATTCGTTGCACACATTGCAGATGTAGCTAAATCACCCAAGAAAAGATTCCCATCTGAACATCTGAGCTGCTCAGCGCAGCTCGCTGTCAGCGCATATGTGCACAGCGAGCTGAAGCTGTGGAGATTGGCTTGGAGCGCGTCGCAGAACCAGAGCGCATGTGGGAAGGTTCCTCCCACTGAAGCGAGTGTTTTCCAAACCCGGTCTCTCAGAGAGACTTGTCACTTAGAAAAAGTTCCCAGATTATGAAACTTTGGCTGAATAGTGCTTGTTCCTGTCTCCAATGTGGCGACACATCTATGAGCCATCTGAGGAGAATTCCAGAATCTCTTCAGCTCAGAAAGCACATATGATTACGCACAAGCGTGACCCGTCAACCCGGTCTCACAGTAAGACTGGGTTGGACCTGTTCAGGTTTACGCAGACAATCTTTACATAGAATTGACTTACAGATGTAAAATTAATTCAGTAAAATATAAAGCATTTTATTTAAATATCCATTCACGATTTTACAAGCACAGAGAGCCGCATCAGATGGATGGAAGAGCCGCGGGTTGTGACATGTTTTCTCCAGGACCAGAGAGGACGCAAACTCAATGCATCTCTTTTATTGTGAGGTAATAATTTCTCAGAGTTTTGCGGTTGCGGGCGAGAGTAGACATGCACGCTGCAGGTGCGGACGGGAGTGTAACACACACGTTGCAGTTGCAGGGGGTAATTGTCAGAAATTCAGCGGGAGCGGGCAGGAGCGGGATGAAGAAAACAGTCCCGCGCAGGGCTCTACTGCTGCATTTGTGTTTAAATTATTTTTATGAATTTGATTAAAAATAAAGGCGCCCAGCCCGTGTCCGAGGTAATTGCACAGTCGTTGGCCCAAAGCCCGAGGGCCGACCCGAGGGCCTAGGGCTTCAGTACAGGGCTCTAGCAGGCTGCCTGGGGTGTAAGGGTGAGGCCGGCGAGTCTAGGCCCGAGGCAGATGTCACATCTGGCATGGAGGTCGCTGGGCATAATGCATGCCGCGTTGTAGGACTGGCACAGTCGGATTGCTTCGCTCGTCATGGTTGTAGAGAGATAGTTGAAGATAGCTCAGTTGCAGTCAGGTCTAGTTGAAGAACTAAAAGGAGACGATCCTTGGTCCTCATACCTATTTATAGGACCAGGGCCCACCTGTTAGGCAGGCGTACATTAAAGCTCTTCAGTCATTGGTCGTTGTCGGGGACAAACTCCCAATAGGCGAGGCTTAAAGGGCGGAGCCATATAAAATAGGACATGTGAGTGAGTCACCACGGTAGGAAGACCAGCTTGCCGTGAGCAAGGATCTGTGACTGATGAGTGAAAACAAAAGAAAAACATTCGGGACTGAAGCTCCGTCAACATCGGCTGGCGACGCGGCTGCATTTCTAAATAAAGCATGTCATTTTGGCGGCATACGCAGTCGCAGCTCACGGTTCTGGGAGAAAGAACTGGGCCTGTCCATCCCATCAACAGCAGGTGGAGCTCACCGCTCCGCTCATCTCACAGCCAGAGCGGGAAAAAAAAACCTATAGGCTTGGATTATACAGATGGGATTCTGTGTGTGAAATAACGCCAGTTAAATTATTACTTAAGTGTTGTTTGTGTGCATGTTGTTCAGTAGCTAATGCTTTAATTAATATGTTTTTTTCACAAGCCCTTCGCACTGTGCGTGATGCGCGTTTGAGGAGCGCAGGCGCTGGTTTAGCATGAGAGATTAGAGGTGTGGAGTGAGAGCATGTGAAGAGGGTCAAAAGCGTGTGTCTCACAGTGCGTGAGAGTTGGCAGCCCTGCGGGCCGCCGTTGAAGCCGAAGTCACGTGATGCAAGTCTGTTCCATTTAACAGTTTTCTTTGACCAAGGAAGGACAGTGTCCTCGTAAGCAAGGCGCCTGGCCTCACAAGACATCGCCTCGCAAGGCCAGATGCCTTAACATTGAGAAACGCCCCAGATTTTCACAAAAAAACAAAACAAACAAACAAACAAAAAGAATCCATCCAGCAGTTCCAGAGATATTTATCGGCTTCATCCCTCAAGTCTCACAAACCAGAACTGTGGGACCGAACGGGCACCATAATAAAACTTCAATATTCAATAACGACTTGGCTCGATTGAAGTGGACTCAAAACCATTTAAGAATATAAATAACGTTTTATTTGAGTCAAACGTGTGGAAATCCTTCAAAATGTTAAATAGTAAAACTTTTTATTGGTGGCCAAAAGCAAACAAAAGTGATTGAATGATTTAGTAACCTTAATAAAAAAAAAGTTTTTTCTTTTTTGCATTAATATTTCAGAATCCGTTTTAATTATCCTCAAATCAATAAGGGAAAAAGCGGCAAAAAAACCAACCTGAAACTTGCAGATTTTCCGGTGTTTTCCTGACGATATCCAACATACGTGTTCATAACACCGTTGGGTGGTTTAGGTTCTTGCATCACCAAACAATGTATTTTTTTGTTTTTATTATAAAATTTGACCCAAAGTTAAATTAATGATTGTTTTGCCTCCAAATTTTTTTTGAATTTTCTATTTCTCATTTAAAAAAAATGCCTATGGTCTGAGACAAAACCACTTAGGGGTGGTGGAAGTTACTGATTCATCAGACTTTTTTATTTTAAGTTATCCAGAAAATTATTGAAATAATGATCCATAACAAGCCTTGACGTGAACTCTGAGCCAGTGACCGGTAGAAAATACCTGCAGCGGTTTATGCAACAGGTAGCATGTGGTCTCCGGGGTAACCACAGAGGGTCAGCGTGGACAAGAGCGAGTAATGACATGCACCCGCTCACTCAGCCGACCACAGAACACGGCCGCGTGTCTGTAATGACAAAGTGTGCTCAAACACCGGCAGCCTGAGCTACGCCGTTACACAGAACTGCAGAACACACACGTCCCTTCCTGCTGTCCAATCTATGGTTGCCACGGCGACTTCTTCAGACCAAACAGAGTGAGGCCCACCTTTAAAGCCTTCCTCGTCCACAATGATGGTGTAGTCCTCTGGAGTCTCTGTCAAACTGAAAAACTTGCATCTGAAGGAAGGAAACAAAGAGACATTTTATCGGCTTTAGGAAAGCTCATATTTCATGGGAAGATCAACATAAAACACAAATCAACGTCTGTTTCCCGAAACATTCAGGAGAACTGAAAATAGCTATAAAATATGAGATGTATCCATCTAAAGATGCATCGATGAGATAAAAACAAGCTCACAGAAGTCTAACCAATAAAACACAGCGTGGTTCTGGTTCCAGCACAAGCCTCCACACCACGAGGGGGGGAACCTCGCTGTGAGAGGAATCTCAATGATCCAGAGAAGATTTTAAAACACAAACACGAGTCTAGGAACCAAAACCGTTCCCTCCAAGAACACGTTCACATTCTTAAATGTAAATTCTGTCCTGTATCTGGGTTCATCTTTAAAAACCGCTCCATCATTTTGGCTTTAATGTGGTTTTATGTACGTGTTTTAAAGGCTTTTGGGCATTTTTGCCCTTCATAAACCACAGCCCAGCTGATGCTTGTGTTTTGGAAGCACTTGAATTCTTTTATCTTGGGGGTAAACTAACCACAGATCAGGTTTCTTTCCAGTAAAAGCATGCAGGCAGGGAGACCAGAAGTCCTTCATCCTATTGATTCATCAGAGGTTTACAGTGCTCACAACACACCTGTGACTCAACAGCATTCAGCATCCGACCCGCTTTTGCTTTTTCACCGACACGTCACGAGGTAAACGGTCTGGAACGACCACGCCAGCAGCTATTTGGTGACCATTTTATCCTCGTTTGAGCTAATAGGCGCTAGTGGTGAAGCTAATTTTAATTCTGCCTCCTGATGACCACAAGTACAAAGAATTAAAACTCTCTACCACATTGCTCTTTGCAAATTTCATGTCCCTGCTGAGCTTTCTTGTGATGTTTTGAGAATTGAGCACATAAATGAGGGCACACATGTCAGAAAACATCCCACTATTGTCAGTTATGCTCAGCGATGTTCTGTTTGCAAGCAACAAACAGCTTTTCCTGCTCACTCCCTTCCTGCTTGGACATCTGGGCTTCTGTAGCAGCTTTCTTCTGTGTTTTTAAGTGCTCCGCAGCACCATCTTTCTCCGTTTTCTTCGTGTGACTGATCAATAATGATTTAGTTCATTAGTTTGTGTCTTCCTGTGCTTTAAACTGTCTAAATATAATAATATATATTTTTAATTTTATGCTCAAAAGGCGAACCCTAACCCATTGACACTTTAATTATCAGGTCAACTAATTCCATTTTTGGTTCTTTTTAAAACACAGAAATGGTTTCTCTTTACCTTGCTAACGTTTCGTTGCAAACTTCCTCTGAGCTGACGCTGATGGTGGCGTCACTTCCTACTCCGTTTATCCGCGGGCAGCAGAGGACGTTGTCGCCCTCTGCTGCCCGCTCTCCCCTCTCCGATGATGCAGTCCCATGCACGATCCAATAAGTAAACTCCATCGTCTCTGTCCATGGTCCCACATCCACGTCTCCTTATCTCTATAGCTTCCTTTATCCAGCTTTTGTATTTCTGTTGTTCGGTGTTTATGATCCTTGTGTTGTCCCAGTCCATTATATGGTTTTCTCGTATGCAGTGATCTGTTACGGCTGACTTCTTTATTGTGCTTTCTGCTTCTTCTTTTGCTGCTCTTGTGTGTTTTCGACTTGCCTCTTTCTCGCACTCCTTTCTATGTTCTATTGTTCGTGTGTTGAGTTGGCGTCCGGTTTCTCCTATGTATGTTTTATTGCAGAGTTTGCATGGGATTTTGTAAACGACTCCACATTTAAGTCGTCTTTTGGGTGTACTAGCCTGTTTCTAACTGTTGTGTATGGTTTTGTTGGTGTGTTTATGTTGTGTTTTTTCATCGTTGCTCTTATTTTTTCTGTTATGCCTCTGATGTATGGTAGGGTTATCACTGGTTTTGGTTCTTGTCTTTCTGGGTTTCTGGTTCTTTGCTTAGGTTGTTCTTTTCTTTCTGTTGTTGTTTGTTGTTTTCCTTTGTTTATTGCCCATGTCGGGTATCCACAGGTCTTTAAAGCGTGTTGTATGTGTTTGTCCTCTCGTTTGCGGTCTCTTTCTTCTGTTACCATGTTTGCTTGGTGATATAATGTTCTGATTACAGACATTTTGTGTATGGTGGGGTGTTCTGATGTCCATAATAGAATCTGCGCGTTTCGAGCGTTATCCGTTCTTTCATAATCCGTTGTTGAATTGTGATCGGCAGAAACTTTTCCGGTTCACACCTCTTTTTTTTGTTTACAGCAGCGGCCCAAAACGATCTCCTAACACATGGATTTTCTGCTTCCTGATCATGTGACGTGTGACATATGCAGATGAAGATCGGCTTTAGAACTGGGATGTTTGTTCTCACGGTGCGGGGGCTCGTTCCGAAGCCCACGCAGTAAAAAAATGCAAATGACGACTTGTCGTCATTGGCAGTGAACGGTTGGATTTAAAAATGATGACTTTTGTCGTCAATGGTAGTGAATGAGTTAATAAACCCATTTAACTTCCATACCTGTGTGAAAAGCTATGTAAGGAAGGAGAGCAGAGCACATCTCGAGGAGTAGAAGCTACAATTACTACTAAAAATGCAACTCTGCCATCTGTAGATATAAATCTGTAACAAAAGTCTTCTTACAACGGGAACTATGGATATTTAGAATAGAATAAAACTGAATTATTCCAACAGTGGGGAAATTCACTTATTAAAGCAGCATATACACTTGGAGAAAAGACAAAAATAATAATGCAGGTAAACATACAAAGGCAGAAGGCTATTACTGTACCCTTCAGAAATGAAAAAAAAAATAAAATAAACAGAAAACAGAGTTCCCAAGAAGAAACAACATAAGACACAGACATACAAACGTGCGTCCGGTAGTGCACAGGTGTTGGCATGAAAAGGATAATGCCAGTAGTTCTACACTCTTACTGCAGTGGGAATGAATGACCTGCGGTAGCGTTCTGTTTTGACATCTGGGATGTCTCAATCTGCCTCAATGTCAGTCTTATGCTTTAAATACTTGTAAACCATCTCTTATAATACCTATTTATCCTCAGCAAACATACATTTCTTTAAGAATTTTACTAAAAATGAGCTGAAGATTTGTGTCACGCTAGACGAAAGCCATTTGCAGATAGATTCTTATGTGAAACTCTGCACTCCACAATTGACCTCAGTAAGACTGTTGTTTACCTCTGAGTTTCAGCACTTTAAAAGAAACCAGTTCCAAGAAGATGAAGAACGTCCCTACAGATCTCCTTGACTCTGAAAACCTAGCCGAGGACGTCTCTTATCAGTCCTGTGATAATCACATTCTTTATGGGCCCGGCGCTGAATGGTTATCCTTTAAATTTGGCTGAAAGGTGTGAAAGAACACGATGAGAACAACACGGAGGCGCTGAACAGATCCGTCGGAGGGAACGGTCGTATTTTCACTTTAATTAAATGAGCTGTCAAGTGTCACTTTGATTTGCAGGTTGTTTTGTGGAGTTGGAAGATCAGTGCGAAGAGCTCCGAGCGGGGTGGTCTCGGGTTTGGACCGATAATGCTCCTCTAATCATATCAGCGCCGGCCTTGTTGGACACACGAGTCAACAAAGCAAACAATCACTCACAATGTTGCATCTCAACGGGGAGCAATCGCCGCACATTTGGCTGACGCTGCTCACATTCGATGAGAACACAAGGAACTTCACAAGATTTTAAATGGACCGTCATTCACTGCAGGTCAACTTCAGCACGAAAGTCCCGTTTAGTCTGAGAATTTGATGAAATTTACAAAACAAATTCATAAAATGCCAAAAACAAAGAAAATATCTTGAATTTTTTATGAGAAATTATCAACGGAAATCTACCATAGCATCAACTACAAAAGAGCATAAATCCAATGTGAATACAGTATTAAATTATTTTACATAAAACTAGGAAATAAAATAATCTCATCTTTTCTACACCCCAATCCATGCTAGCAACAATAAATCTTCCATGCAGATGTTTTTATTCCCAGAATGATCATACATAAAAACTAATTAATAAATTATACTCTGGTAATCGTAGTTCTTTGTCAGCATCGTCATCATGGAATTTATGCAAAATCAGTGTTGATGGTTCAGAACAAAAAAACTGGAACAGATTGTGTTTTAAAGTTGATGTCTGATTCTTGTAAACCTCTATAAACAGCTGACGAATCTGATTTTTATTGCTACTTTAAATTAAAAAAAACATAAAAGTTACAAATTCTCAGATGATAACTGAGCCGATAATGCTAAATAACGGTCGATTCAGAGTTTTCTCTAAATCTGCTGCATCTCTACTGATTAACCTGCATTATTAGCCGTTAAAAACCACATAAGACACCGAAAACCTATGAAATAAGGATTACAGCCGTCACAACATGATACGGTTTTCCTCCAGATTGTATTTCTGGCAGTAGCAGATCACCTTCGGCCAATTTGTTAACTAAACAGCTAGAGCTGAAACAACTAATCGATTTAATCGATTATAATCGATTATTAAAATAGTTAACAACTTTTTTAGTCATCGATTAGTTGTTTAATAATCATATTTTACCGCATGAAGTCTATTTTTACCACAATCTGACATCGGTTACAAGCTGTTAAATTTGCCGCCAGTGTGTGGCAGTAATGAGCCACTGATCTACCAGTGGAGCCGTAGAAGAAGAAATGAGCCAATGAGTGCCCTCGGTTTTCATACGTATCACGTTACTGACGCTCAACTTGCTGTGAGAGATGGCGGAACAAGAGGAAATACGGAAGAAAAATAGAAGCGACAAAACTGAAGAGAAACCCCGGACAAAAACCTCACGAGTATGGGAGAACTTCACTCTAGATGCCTTGAAAAGACGGGTGACCTTCAAAATATACAAAAACCATCTAGCATGGCACGGAAGCACGACGTCCCTAAGTGAAGATTTGAGACGAAAACATGTGGGGGCTGATGCAGCAGAGGAAGAGCACCGCGGTCAAGTGAGCCGTCATTTGGAAGAGCCAGCCCGGTAAGTAACAGAAAATAAACAAGCTGGACTTAGTGTTTTAGCTTAGTTTGTTATAGTGGATATTAAACATGTTTTTTGCCACGTCAGTCTACGGTGTTCTACTTCTGATTGACTAGATGCAATCGTGAATCTCCTCCGTGTTGTGTCATGCGCTTGCCAAATTCAGCACGTCTGTTTATAAGAATGTTCTCGTTAAGAGAAAAACTGCACAAACCCATAACTATGTTCCTCATTCAAAAAAGGACAACTCCGCGGTGAAAAATATACAGACGAGCTGTGTCCAGGTGAATATAACGCGGCATAGTTGTACGCTTTCAATTTTTAAATATAGGAGAAATTCAGAAAGTCATTTTTTACTATTAAAAGGCTGTTTTACTATCTAACGCTGTAAAACGCCTCACAACACATTTTTATCATGTTTCTTAAACAGTATTACACAAAATAAACATTTTTCACATTTTTCTAGCTAATTTAAACACTCCCGCCTCAAAGTAAAAACCTCATGAGCTTCTTACTTAGAGCTTTTTAATAGTAAAAAAATTAGACTTTTTTTCTGAATATCTCCTGTTGCGGGCTATTTTGTAGAACGTAACCCTCAAAATAAATGATCACTGTATATTGTTAATTAATTCAAATAATATATTGATTTAGTGTTGTAGTGTGTGTGCTGCTTTATTTTATATGTGTACTTATTTCAGTCTATTTGTGTTTCTTATGCAGAAAAAAAACAAGCAACGATGGACAACTACATGGGGAACAAGACACTCACCCCCCAGCAATTCATACCACTTACAAACTCTATTCTAAACATGCTGGTAAAAGATATGAGGCCACTATCCATGGTGGAAGGAGCAGGCTTCCAGCTAATGCTAAAAAAATATTCTGGACTGATATTTTGCACTGTTTAGCTCATTTTATACTGCTGACTGTGTTCATGTGCAATAAAATAGATTGCAGTCAACTGCACAATTCTCTTATGTTTTTTTTCTTAACTGAAATGCATCCATCACTTGTATAGGTTAAATAGCTAAACAATAACAAACCGATTAATCGAAAAAAATAATCGACAGATTAATCGATTATGAAAATAATCGTTAGTTGCAGCCCTATAAACAGCAGAAAATCCACATTTCCCTTCAGCAATCTCCAACATCCCTCGAAACCCCCCCCCCCCCCCCCCGTGCTTTCATCTTTTATATAAAGAAATATCTTGTTGTCCATGCTGCTTTGCATAAGTCCGGAGGATAATAAGCAATGTGGTTTAGTTTTATTTTGTATGATTTTCTTGCACATAGAGCAATTGTAATGCAGAAGTTTTGCCTTATGTTCTGAAAATGCATTAATACAGTGGAAACGGCTGAACTCACACCGTGTCTGCGTGGTTCTTTATTCCCCTTTTACAGGGGTGTAACAAAAGCAGCTCTACGTCTCTGGGTGATACCATCTTAGACGCCATGTTTTCTTCTACGGGAGCCCGTGAAAACAAAACACATTTATTAATTTGTAACAAGCGGTTACAAAACTTTTGTCCTTCATAAACGTTGTTTTACACATTTACCTCTTCAGTGATGAAAGGAAGTCTGATGTGCTTGTCATTATGAGGTTGCTCTCCCAGGGATTTCTTTACCCTAATGGCCACCCGTTGGTAAGGTCTTATGGTGTGTTCCAGTAGTCTTCAAAACTCGTTTTTCCGAGATAAGTTAGCCGGAAATGACGCAATGAATTCGGAATTCCAAGCTGCGAGCTCATAGTTTTTAAGAGGACCCCGAGATCCCAAATTTAAGTATGGCTGTGCCCAGTGCTACCAGGAAGTAGTTATCGTCTATATATTTTTCTCACTAATATGTTCTGTTTACTTTCTTTTTGCAATTTAACAGCACCGTAAGTTGTCTATTGTTGTCATGGATAGTTACGTGGTTGACAAACTTAACATTGCTACCAAATTGACCGGTGTTTATGGTTTTGTAATTTTCCAGGCGTTTATATTTTTACATTTGCTTTGTAATGTTTTTCTGGTTGTATGTGGCAACTGTTGAAGCGCGTGTGTGTCAATATTTAGATGCGGAGAATTCTTGGTTGTATAATTCTTTGGTTTAGTACTCAACAACACTAGTGGCATCCATTTTTTCCGAGTTGAAAGCTGGAACGTAAAACAAGCCCGTTATGTCATTTCCTGCTCGGAAATTCCAAGCTCCGGGGACAACTGGATTACTAGAACAAAAAAATACTGCTTGTTTGCAATGAGTTAGGCATCTCCTGCCCCCTATTGCCAGGGAAAATACACACCGTTCCTTTAAAGAAGAACTGCACACAATCAGAAAATGTAACTCCATCCCTAGTCAAGATATGAAAAAAATGCCATGAAAGTGGGCGTTGCCAGGAGACACAGAGTGGCATGGCCAAGTGTGGGGAATTTCCATCCTGGGAGGGAGGGGGAGTGAGAGGAGACTGTACTGATGACGTGAAATTGTACCGGTCCCAGCCAATCACAAGTTTAAAATGCAGTAGCTGCTGTTTTGCCACAGGGGGCAGCACTAAGACAATTTTAGACCTAGATTCTAGATTTAATCAAGTTTACACAAACATGTCAAAAAGGCACAGAAACAGAAAGATTGCATTTGTAAAGACCCAGTTATACAGTTCATAAGCAGAAAAAGAGTTATTTTGTGGTTTAGTTGCTCAAAGTCAATGAAATCAAAAGAAAACTGAGTTTTCTTTTCTAAAACAGGTTGCTGTTAGTAGATGTTTGTAGCTTAACTATTTGCCATGGAGCCTCTTTCATTCTAGTGCTATTTTGTGATGCGTTTGGGTACACTGGGAGTTTGTGAGACTAGTTAGGTCAAGTCATCAGCTGATGCATCACTAGTATTTAGAAACCTGCTGAGAAGCTGATTTATTCAAATGTCTTAGAATAACACTTCTAATGACTGTTACTGTTAGCCACATGCTAATTAGCATGTGAATGCTAATTGGATTAACTTTGTTTTTATAAAACTTCAAAACAATACGATCCTGTAGGTGACTCTGATGTGCTCTGACCTCCTGACTATCAGTGTTTAGGTGCACACATAGCAACAAAACTACGACTAAACAAAGACTGATGAGCCCAAATGGTCGACTGATTCAGGGAGGTTAAACACAGATGCTTTGGGATGTTTATCAAATAAATGTATTTTGGTCGAGTTCTGTTTGTTTATGACCCTGTCTTTAGAACAAAGATGGAAAACCCCACAGGGTGAACATCCTCCTCCACCGATCTGACTGTAGAGGATTATGCAATCCCTGGCTGCCAGGTTTCACTCGTGTTTCCTCAAAACGACCGCTAGGAGACGTTTACAGGACTGACACTTTTCAGCTTTGGGCAAAACAAGAAGTTTAATGAGTTTCGTTATTATTAAGTGTTATCCTACATTTAAAATAACTCAGTGAAGGGATGCTAGATGATTTGAAAACAAACTGCATAAAAACCCGCACAGAGCTTCAATAACATCAGGTGGAAAAGCAAATCTGCTCAAAAGGAACAGCAGAGAAAGGAAGGGTAAACAACTAGAGGGGAAACAAATGGTTACAAAACCAGAGTCCTTCCAGTCAAGTGCTATGAAATTATGTAATCATAAATGGATAGCTGCCAGCTAGACACGCTTCAGAAATTCCCTAAAACGTTATGTCACAGAATGAAATGTCCCTTTAAATTTGTCCAAAGTGTTTCAGGAATGACTAATAACTTTTACACTACTTAACTGATCGTCATTGTAGCTGTCGCAGTTAAATGTGGTTATTCATTGTCATTTGTTTGATTTAACTGTGGAAATATTTAATTTAATTTCTTTGTTGATTTGACGCCGCCTGCTGGCTGGATTGAAATTTGACACTGGAAGGTGCGCGCGAGCGGAGCGAATGATTAACTGACACAAGCACGGAGAAGCGACCAGAAGAAGCTCACATCGGATAAAGAAAAGTGGACATGGACTGAAATTGCTTGTGAATATTAAGTGGAGAGGATACACACGGTGTGTTTGTATATTTAACTGTATTGCATTAATATCCGAGTTATAAGTTTATGTTTCTAAAATTAATATTTGTGTTTATTGTTGTTCATTTCACCGTAGTTTTTCACGGTGTTTGCTGGTAACAAGAAGATAAAGAACCAGTTGAACATCAGTTGGAGCATGGCGTTTTATTCCACAAAAAACAAAATATCCTTCATGAGCAGTTACAGTGAAAAACGTGTCCTGTTAAGAAGTACGCAGCCAGAGCCCTGCATGCCATGCTTTGAAGACGGCAGTCCACAGTCTGCGGCCCAATCCGCATGAAATAAAGAGGGCCGATACGACGTTTTGGGAATTGAGCAGTTTTGCAGAGCCTTTCAACATCATACGAAACCAGGTCAGACTGTATCTATGAGTTAAAAAAAAAAACAAAAAAAAAAACGGACATTAACGGTGTAATGCTACAGACATTGAAAGTTGTTTAAAAAACGGACATTAACGGTGTATGCTACAGCTATTGAATGCTGTTAAAAAAAAACGGACATTAACGGTGTATGCTACAGATATTATTGAAAGTTTGTTAAAAAGAAAAAAGGTTTGTTACTATCACTAGTGTTCTCATGTTAAGTTTTCTTTCATTGTTCTTAGCTGTTGGTTTAAAATATTGTTCACAATGGAGCAGGGTGTACAAGAAACTCGTGTTTTAGAGGAAGTACTTGTAGCTTTAGAATTTGAAAAGTTACATTTAGAAAAGAAATTAGAAACTGAAGTTGAAGATGCAGAAAGAGAGGAAGTTGAAATACGCTTAGGTGAAATTTATGCAGACCTTGAAATACATAAAATAGGTTTGACTCAGCCATCATCCCAACCTGAGACAGAGGTGAGACGCTCAGAGCGTCAAAGAAAACTAACAGAAAAAATGCGTGACTTTAAACAGTCTGAGATAACAAGTAAAGAAAGAAAGTTTATGTCAACATATGTAAACTTTAAAGCAGAGATTCAACTCTCTAGGTCCAAACTTAAAAAGGAATGTTCAAAAGCAGAGTTAACTGAAATGATCAAATCAGTAGGAAAATGTGAATCTGACCTACAGCAAGATTATGTAGCTTTACGTACACTGACTACTCCATCTCAAGATTTCAGAAGAAAGATGGATAGCTGTTCTTCAGTTTCCACTGAAATGATGTTGCTTCTGAAAAGGCGCTATGCAGATGTTGACAAGGAGTTTGATGCAATTGCTGTAAAAGACTCACTCCTTCAGTTGCTTCAGAGAGAAGATGCTAAGTCAATGTATGGCTCAACTGTGTCTAGGGCTGAAAAAAGTAGCCAGAACAGTTATAGTAAGCAAGGAAGTCAGGTATCTGCAAAGAAAGCAGAGGCAGCTGCACGGTTGGCATCTAAACGAGCTGAAATAAGCAGGGAAAAGGAAATTTCTGCCCAAAGAAAGGAGATATTAGCTCAACAAGAGAGATTAAAATTGTTGGAAAAGCAAAGAGATCTTGAGGTTATTGAGGCTGAATACAATGTGTATGCTGAAGAGGAATCAAAATTGAATGCTGAAATAAGAAACAGTGAGGTAAAAGGTACTTTGTCTTTTAGTCAGCTTCCCAAACCTCTTAACAGTCCTCCATACACCCAAGCTATCCAGAGTACGGCACCTCCTAACTTTGAAGGTATAACCAACAAGATCCCAAAATATCTTCCAGTGCCCAAGTGTGATACTAGAGTAGCGTCAAAAGAAAGTGAGTTATCTCTAGTTCAAGCTTTAAAGGAGTCTTTAGCAATGACTAGACTTCCAATACCAGAGCCATTTACCTTTACAGGAGACCCACTGAAGTTTACTGAGTGGAGCACTTGCTTCAAGGCTCTTATTGAGACTAGTTGCACAAATTCAGCCCATAAACTTTTCTACTTGAAGAAATACATTAATGGAGAAGCTCTTGGTGTTTTAGAAGGGACATTCTATCGCAGTGATGAGGAAGCTTACAACCAAGCTTGGGATGCTCTGAACAACCGTTATGGCCACCCATTTGTAGTTCAAAGAGCTTTTCGGGGAAAGCTAAGCAGTTGGCCAAAGATCGGACCAAAAGAGTCACTAAAGCTGAGAGAGTTTAGTGATTTCCTTGTTTCCTGTAAGAATGCTATGCCCCATGTTCAGGGCCTCAAAGTGTTGGATGATTGTGAGGAGAATCAAAAATTATTACTGAAACTTCCTGATTGGGCAACAACCCGCTGGAACCGTCATGTGTCAAAACTGTTAGATGAAGGAAAGGAATATCCAGGTTTCACAGTCAGAGTTTGCTGACTTTGTGGCAGAAGAAGCACGAATAGCATGCAATCCAGTTTCTTCTTTGTTTGCCTTAAAGAACACATTTGAAAAACCTGAAAAGGAACAAAAACGTCAGAAAGCCAGTGTCCTGATAACAACGAATGTGTCAACAAATGAAAAGGCCACAGCTGCAACACAGATCAACAAAAAATCCAAACCCAACCTTTCCTCAACTCAGAATAAAAGGCAAATTGAATGCATCTGCTGCAGGCAAAATCACTTTATTTACAAATGTGACAAGTTTACAGCAATGTCTCTTGAAGAAAAGAAGCAGTTCATTATCGACAACAATATGTGCTTTGGTTGTCTTCGTGTTGGTCACATATCCAAGAACTGTCAACAAAGAGTAACATGTAATGTTTGCAAGCGGAAGCACCCTTCTCCTCTTCATGAAGATCATCCACAACCAGATAAGCCTGAGATGCTACCGAAAGAGGAAAATGCAGCCACTGTATCATGCAGTGTGAAATTGGACAACAGTGATTGCACTTCAATGATTGTCCCAGTTTGGCTTTCTTCTTCAACAAATAGACCAGAGACATTGGTTTATGCTTTGCTAGACACCCAAAGCAGCAATACATTTATTGATCAAAATGTTTGTGAAAAATTACAAGCAAGAACAGGACCCGTTAAATTAAAGCTGACAACCATAACTGACAGGTGTTCTATTGTGCCTAGTCAAAGAGTGGAAGGACTGAGAGTTAGAGGGTACCACTCACAAGAGTATATTGAGTTGCCACCTACATATACTCGAGAATACATTCCACTTCAGAAAAACAGTATTCCAACTCGAGAGACTGCAAAAAAATGGCCCCACCTACTCAGCATTGCAAATGAAATGCCAGATCTCTTGGACTGTCCTGTAGCTCTCCTCATTGGTTATGACTGTACAAGAGCTCTAAAACCAAGGAAGGTCATACCAGGAGAGGATTATGATCCCTATGCAGTTAAAACAGACTTGGGATGGAGCATTGTGGGACCCATTAAGCCATGGACAGGTTCAGTGGGCGCAACTGGGACCTGCCATCGTGTAATAGTAAAGGAATTGCCATCTATTACACCTGCATCTGTGATTAAAGCACTTGAAGCTGATTTTCTGGACACTAACCCCAAAGAAGGGAACATATCTCAAGAGGACATTCAGTTTTTAGAGATGCTAAATGAAAACATTCACTACAATGAGCAAGGTCATTTAGAAATGCCTTTACCTTTTAAAGAACGTCCACAGCTTCCAAATAACAAGCAGCTTGCAACAGTTCGTCTGAAATATTTGAAAATGAAAATGGACAAGAACCCCAAGTACAAAGAAGATTACATAAAGTTCATGAATAATGTGTTTAAAGATGGTGATGCAGAGGAAGCAGAAGAAACACCACAGGATGGTAACACATGGTACATTCCACACCACGGTGTGTATCACCCCAGAAAGCCAGAAAAAATTAGAGTTGTTTTTGACTGCTCTGCTAAACATGAAGACACCTCTTTAAATGACCACTTACTTACAGGCCCAGACTTGATCAATACTCTGGCAGGAGTATTGTGCAGATTCCGAGAGAACAGAATCGCAATAATGTGCGATGTGGAGAAAATGTTTCACCGCTTCCATGTTAATCCAGAGGATCGAGATTTCTTAAGGTTTTTGTGGTGGAAGGATGGAAATACAAATACTGAGCCAAAGGAATATCGCATGCGAGTGCATGCGTTTGGTGCAGCGTCATCGCCTGGATGTGCTAAATTTGGCATGAAACATCTCGCCAGAAGAAACGAAAAGGACTACCCACTGGCAGCCAGTTTCATTCACAAAAACTTTTATGTGGATGATGGGCTTCTCAGTGTTGAAACAGATAAGAAAGCCAAGCAGCTAGTCTGTGAAGCACTCAAACTCTGTGTTAAAGGGAAGTTGCGTTTGCACAAATTTGTGTGCAACAACAAAGAGGTCATGAGTGTTATTCCTGAAACTGAGCGAGCTGGCAACACTACGGATGTAAACATGAACTACTCTGAAGTTCCAATGAAAAGTGTGCTGGGAGTAAAATGGAATGTGGAAGCCGATGTGTTCACATTCAGTGGAGCCCTCAAAGAAAGGCCAGCTACACGCCGAGGAATTCTAGCAACAGTAGCAAGTGTGTATGACCCGTTAGGATTTCTTTCACCCTACACTTTGATAGGAAAACAAGTACTCCAGGAAATGTGCAAAAGTGGAGTTGGATGGGATGAACCTGTTCCTTCCGCACTGGAAACCAAGTGGAAAGCTTGGCTCTATGACTTGGAAAATCTTCGAAAGGTCGAAATACCTAGATGCCTCTTTCCTGAGAACCTAGGCAAAATCAAAAGGGTTGAGCTGCATCATTTTTCTGATGCTAGCAGCAGTGGCTATGGACAATGCTCATACATTAGGTTTGTTACAGATGAACAAGTGCATTGTGCTCTAGTTATGGGTAAAGCCAGAGTGGCACCTATAAAAATAGTCACAATCCCGTGCCTCGAGCTCACTGCAGCTGCAGTTTCTGCTTTTGTTAGTAACTTTCTTAGAGCAGAGCTTGAGCGGAAAATCGACGAGGAGTTTTTCTGGACAGATTCTCAAGTGACTCTTGGGTACATAAAAAACGATGCTCGTCGCTTTCATGTATTTGTTGCAAATCGAGTTCAAAAAATAAGAGACACTACAGACCCAAACCAATGGTTTTACATTAAAGCTGATCAAAATCCAGCTGACCACGCATCTAGAGGCCTCAAGGTGGCAGAGCTAATAAACTCAAACTGGCTCACTGGACCTAAATTCCTTTGGGAAAGAGAAATTATCACGAACCAACAATCTCCAGAACTTCTTGTTGGTGACCCAGAGGTAAAAGTTCTTAAAACAGATGCTATTGAGCAAGACAGGTTTCTTGAGAGGTTCATGAAATGCTCTGATTGGATCACAGCACTTAATGTGGTAGCAAGGATTAAAAGACTTGCAAAAAGAGACAAATCAGGAGCCATCAGTGAGAAAGGTTAAGATCCAAGTAGGTCAAAGAGATTTAGGGAACAAAGGTGAACGTCTGAGACAACTATCTTTTCTGGAGAGACCTGTTCAAAAACTAGTGGTTTTGGTTAAAAGTGAGTCCTAAACTACAGTAAAGTACAAAATTTGATACAACATTAATATGTGATATTTGAGTTTATCAAGTTACTGATTTCTGTGTGTTTCATAACAAAGATTTATGGTTGATAGTTATTTTATTGAAAATTACAAGATTTAAAGTTCTTTAATGTGTAGTGAATTTCAATCATTGTAATTTTGGTGGCAGTGTAGCTGTCGCAGTTAAATGTGGTTATTCATTGTCATTTGTTTGATTTAACTGTGGAAATATTTAATTTAATTTCTTTGTTGATTTGACGCCACCTGCTGGCTGGATTGAAATTTGACACTGGAAGGTGCGCGCGAGCGGAGCGAATGATTAACTGACACAAGCACGGAGAAGCGACCAGAAGAAGCTCACATCGGATAAAGAAAAGTGGACATGGACTGAAATTGCTTGTGAATATTAAGTGGAGAGGCGCACACGGTGTGTTTGTATATTTATCTGTATTGCATTAATATCTGAGTTATAAGTTTATGTTTCTAAAATTAATATTTGTGTTTATTGTTGTTCATTTCACCGTAGTTTTTCACGGTGTTTGCTGGTAACAAGAAGATAAAGAACCAGTTGAACATCAGTTGGAGCATGGCGTTTTATTCCACAAAAAACAAAATATCCTTCATGAGCAGTTACAGTCATTAATAGCCAAATCTGTGAATAAATATCATTCAGGAAGGAAAATGTACTCAGAAACCAGTTAAATAGATGAATAAATATCCCCTTTAGTAGTGTGTTTATTTAAAAAAAGAAGGTGTTCCTACTTTTTATCACAATCTTTCCAAATAAACTGAATGAAAATGAAAAGATGACTAAACAAATTTTGCAGGTTTATTCCTTCACAATCAAGTGAAGTAACAAGAAGCAGAACTGTATAAAACCCAAGGGTCACCAGTTGTGGTCCTTGAGGGATTCCATCCTGCAGGTTTCATGTTTTTCCTGCACCTGAATCAAATGACTTGTTACACTACTCTTTTGAGAAGGATAACATCTTCTGGGCTCAGAGGCAGCTGCTCGACTTGCAGATCCGCCATTTTCCACAGGGCCAGCCTCGCTGTGCCAAGCGGACTGTTTGGCAACCCACAACGGTGCCCCCTGTTGGCTGACAGATGTAAACATAAACCCAGCGCCATGCCCGTCAAAATAGATATTTGATTATTTTTAAAATTAAATATAGCTTTTAAAGGAAATACTGTTCCTTCATTCTGCACACCTCTAAACGCCCCATGGAGGGAATCTTTTTCAAAAATATAACTTTTTATTAAATTGTTCTAAAGTCACCCTTTAACTTGTAGATGTTTTTAAGAACCGTGGGTGTAAATTACATTCTTCCAGTCTTTTTACATCAACAAGGGCCCAATCAATGTCCTCAAATAAAATGGCTAGTCCACAGCAAGTCGTACATCTAAAATCCAACATAAAATATAGATAAAAACC